CAACATGGCAGCCGTTCGGGCAACCATACGGTTCGCAATGGCCACAGGGCGCCTTGACACGAACCAACCGCAAGCCGACTAAACCACCCAACCCACCATAACACACCCAACCCACACCCCTCACCTCGTGCCACGGACAGCAGGCACCGCTTCAGCCGCCGAAGATAGGACGTTGAACACTTGGAGAATCGCCTTCAAGCCAGCCTACTTACAACCCTACTAACCCAAGAGAATCCGCAGAGGAATCGTATAAGAGAGGACATGAACTAGAATGAACTTTGTATGGGCTCCGACGAGATCAGGACATATCTTGGGATATGTATAGTCAGATTGTAATAGTTGCCCTTTCGGGTTATCCACCGGGCGTCAATAAATCGTATTGTATTGTATTGTACTTCGCCCTGCTTGAGGCTGAAGCTAGTCCCGAGTCGGTTGCGGAGTTCTTCCTGTTCGCGGACCGCGTGTTTCTCTGTCTCTCTGGTCAGTGCTTCTCGGTTGAGGAAATTGAGTTTCGGTTCTTCATCCCGTGGGTGTGTGCTCCGCGTTCCCCGCATGGAGGCCAAGTGAGCTCCAGCACAAAAGTCGCCGAACCGCCCATTCCCGTGCTACACACGGAAACTTTCCAGGTGTCGAGGTACCTTAATTCTAGGCACCGAGGTTAATCCCATCAAGAATCGCCGGACCGGGGGTCGGGGAGAGGGCAAGGCTATCTATCCCCCAGTACCTACCGAACGGAACAGGCGTTAAATAGGTAAGCAGACGTGCAGTGATTCGATTATTATAGGGATCCAGAAAAATGAAATCCGATTAAGTCAAAGTACGGGCTGTCGTCATGTCTTCATTTCTTTCACTGGCATTTCTTGATTTGGTGCCAGTTGTATCGAAGTCGGCTTCCCTACCAAGCCCCTAGGCTCCTCAATTGCCTGATACCTCAATCAATACCTGCACAGGCTCATCTTTCCCCGTCTGGCAGTAATTCCATCTTTCATTTCCCGCCATCGTCCAGACGCCCTCAAGGACAGCACAACATGCGGTTTCTCTGCCTCCACGGGATGGGCACCAACTCGGAAATATACGAGGCCCAACTAGCGCCGATCCGTGGGCACCTCGGCGCAGAGCACGAATTCGTCTTTGTCGACGGCGCCATCGAATGCGAGCCAGCCCACGGCGTGGCCGACATCTTCCCGCCGCCCTTCTTCTGCTACTACAGCAAACCAACGCGCAGCCAGCTGCAGGCGGCCTACGACCTCGTCGAGGAGGTCTTGGAAGAGGACGGCCCGTTCGACGGCGTGTTTGGCTTCTCCCAGGGCGGCGCCCTGATCGCCTCGATGCTGCTGCAGCGCTGCAGGACAGACCCGGGCGCGCCCGACCTGTTCCGGGTCGCCATCTTCACGTGCGCCAGCCTCCCCTTTGACCTCGACTGCAACAGCGACGACGGCAGGATCAAGTACTACACCGCCATCGACCCCCTCACTGGAGCCGTCAGCGTGCGCGACTTTGTCCCCGGAATAACTCACGTGGAAACGACCAAGGTCAACGGGTACATCACGAGCCCGGAGCCGGGCGAGCTCCCGCTGCGAAGGTACCACCCGGACCGCGAACGGCTGCGGATTCCCATTTCCACGGTCCACATCCTCGGCGAGCGGGATCCATTTGTGCCGCAGAGCCGTGCTTTGGTGGGGCTTTGCGACGACGCGGTGGTGGTAAGTCATGAGAGGGGCCACGAGCTGCCGCGTGACGGCTTGTTTGCGCGTAAGGCGGCCAATGCCATCTCCGCCGCTGTTTCGAAGTCCTTATTTCGGTGCTGAGAGGAAGGAGTTAAAAAGTGGTGGTCTAGTTCGGCAATACGGCACCGATTCAACCAGCGGTTTGTCAATTTGAGCTGGGGATTGATGATCTGGACGTAATGGAAGGATGAATGGGCCCTTTTTGAATGTTTCACGACTGCAGGTCTACGGTGCGTACCGTGCTTTCTTTGGCCGAGATAGAATTTCAACCTCTTATTTATAACGCAGTACGCGGCCTCTATAGTACTTTCGAGAACCTTCCTCCTGGTGCTTTAATTGACCGGGCATAATCCAGCCTCTAAGTACATCACTGCATCCGATGCCGCCATTCATCCACAAACTCCCGGAGGGTAGCACGAACCTGCTCCAGCTGAGCCAGCGTCTGGGAGTCGTCATCAAAAGTGTTGCTCTTAAAGTCGCCGTTACCGCCGGCCCGAGAGACGTCATCTTCGTAATAGTGCTTCTTCCCCTGCTGATGCTGCCGCGGCGGCCGCTCCTTTGCCAGGATGTGAGCGGTCCCTTGCAGCATCGCCAGTCCTTTCTGCAGCTGTGCCAGATGCAGCTCCATGATTGTCGCGTCCGAGACCATCTGCAGATGCTGCTGCGTGCCACCCAGAGATAACACCGAACTGGGATTCGCTTCTCCAGTGCTCCCACTCCCGGCCCTGTCGTGGCCGTTGCCGTTGCCGTTGCTGGCACTGCTACCGATTGGGCATTTTCCGGCGTCGGCTGGTGACGTTGGCGTCAGCACCTCCGGTCGGTGCCTCTGCTGTTGTTGCCCGGAGTGAGAGAGATGCTGCCGCTGATGATGCGGGTAATAACGAGAAGGCGGTGCCGGGCGAGATGCGGCATCCATGAACACCTCGGCTGTCTTGCGGTACATGTCCACCACGGTGGCGCTGACGGATGCCACGAGCATGAGACACGGCAACTCGCTGCTCCCCGGTGGCAGGGGGCTGCTGGCGAGCCAACTAATGATGTCACAGAGGGAAGAGACCATGAAGAAGGCCTTGTCTAGGGTTCTATGCTGTTGTGCTTGGCATGGGGTTTGCTGCTTGCTGGAGCTGCAGTTCCCACCGGTAAGTGGGAGACACTCGGACCCGGTTATCTGGGCAACCGCAGGGCTCGAAAACTTGCGCAAAGCGTACAGAATGTGTGAGAGCTCTGAGTACGCGTCAAGGAGACTGTCTGTTGAGAAGGACGGCCGAACATCACGGAACAGCGAGGGCGAGTTCGACGAGGATGTCGTCGGATTACTGCACAGCACCAGGGTGGGGCTGTTTGACGTGGCAGCGGCATTGGTAGTATTGTCCGAGGTCCTATGGGGGCGCGGTGACGCAGCTGTTTGATTTGGTTCGTCGAACCGCGCAAATGTGGCGAGTGTTTGGTGGTAGAGAGCCATTGACGTTGCGGACGGCGACATATCAGGTACCCAGGAATCGCAGAATCTTGCGATGGGATAGGTCACCGGCGTTAGCATTCAAGTTCCTTCATTTGCGGTCCCCAAACTCTCCTAAATTCTCTAGCAGCCTCTCGCATGGCCCTGTGAACCGAACTGGAGAAAGAGATATCAATAATACTTACGAATGTGCGTCGGGGATGGAGGTCGAGAGTCCTTCCATCAATCCGCTCCCCCAAGAGGAGGGCGCGTCGGTCGAGGCCAGGTCCCAGACCCCTCCCTCCATCATGGCGGCATCCCCATCTGTCGCATCCACGTTCAGATGCTTAGCTTTGCCGGTTTCCTGGATTGCTCTTGTCTCTGTCTGGGTCTCTTCCATCCGATACACGGGGTCTCGATCCGTGCGGGAAAGTGGTGCCGTGTCCTCCCGGGCGGAGTGTGCTACCCCCACGGCCACTTCGGGCGCGGCAGCGGTGGTCGTCGACGTAATTGCTACCGCCGAGCTGGCACGGGGTTGCGTATGCGTGTTGGCTGGCTTGCCGGTCCTGCGCTGCTGATCTCTCTTGCCGGCGCGGTTGTTGAGCCGCGGCCGTCCCATCTCGCTTCTGGGGCTAAACTGGCACACCTGCCCAGTCCGGCGACAGTTCGCACAGGCGCCGGCGCCCTCGGACGGGCACCTCATCTTCCGGCGGTGACATGCATCGCAGGCATCTCGCAGAACAATGTCCCGGTCCATGCTGCGGAACTTGTTGCTATGCAAAGCTGATCTGTGTCATAGCACCATCTAGCCATCCAATGTAGGAGCGTGCACCTCCATCTTTAACCTCTGTCCCACACGGCCCCTTGTTTATCCTCTTGTAAAACATCATCGTTGCACTGCCAGGCAGCGCCATGCCACAGTGCCACATGCCAACATCAGTACCAAATTGCAGCATCCAATTGTACAGAACCAACGTGCAGCACCAACCTGTAACATAGTCGCACGCTGGGAAAGCTGTAGGAGACCTGGCCGCAGGCATGTTCTAGTCACAGACCATACGAGAAGAGCGACATGGAGAGAGCAACAGCCCCATGCGGTTACCAATGTCAATGTGCGGCACAGCTGCACACGGGATTACCGGACTGCAGGCTGGGCGTCGGCCAAAGTTGACAGGCACAGCTCGCCAGAGCCGTGTAACCTGATTATCGCCTGTGTAAGCCCAATCGAGTATACTCCATATTCCATATACCTAGGTTTCAGGCGGACCAGACTCTGGAGTTGCGGCCCGGTCACTCGTCCTTACTGTGTCCGTAACCTGCATGCATTTGGGTTTCTTAATCCCGTGTCATCTAGATCATTGGATGCCGGTCTGGCCGCTGGTTGGGGTATGGTCGTAGGATTCGGCCGATAGCCATCTAAGGCAAGGTACGGATCGGCTGCCTAAGGATTTGGTGGTGGTCAGCTAATAGATTCCCGGCCCGATGGAGACTCCTTTTAGCTTCGACGGCTCTTGAGGAAGATGGTGTGAGTGTGGGGGAACAACCGTACCGCGAACCCGGCGATCTTGGCAATGTCCTGCGTCCACTGCTATGCGAAGAAGTGGCTGGGCTGGCTGACTTGTGGAACGTAAGCTCAGGCTGATGGAGAAGCTCAGTGGAGCATGAGCCGAGGGTGTTTAGATTTGCTGGATTCCCGAGTGAGCCAAAATGCGGCACAAAGTTTGGGCGGCAACAGATTATCTGGGCCGCCTGCAAGACTGGTGGACGTGGGCCCACACAGCAATTGTGCCTTTCAGTGGGTGGTTACACGACCGTAACTTACCTTATTAACCGTCGTGACGTATGACACTGGAGGTATTTGTAGTGCCGAGTCTTAAGGCTCAAAGAGGTCAATGGAGTTACTGTTACCAGGTATCCAATGTCCATTTAGCGGCGCTACGCTACGCTTCCGTAGCGGGACTTACCGTAAGCTCTCAACCGATCCAAAAGTTTTGTCGCTCATTTCAACCAATGGGGGCCAGAGGGATGAGGAGCATGCAATCCACAAATTGAGATCTTATGCTCCCTATTGGTCTGAACCAGTTCTGGACGAGAGCCTACAGACCCTACAGGAAATAGAATGTCCTCTCGACCGACAAAGTTTCGAACAAAATCCTACAAGTTACAGAATTCGGCTAGTGGCAGCAGGCTGACTGGCTTGAGCTCTCGATGCCCTGGCGATATTACGCGTATACCCAGACTGGGTGAGCTCCGGCGACTTATAAATCGGAGACTTTAACGCACCTTAGATCTAATGCAGCAACCTGAATTGGTCGCATGTTGCCAAGAGGAGGTTTCTTGGGACATTCAACGCTTGAAGGAAGCTGAGCAGGGACGTAACTGTCCCTCATACGTTAGTACTGCCGATGACCGGCGTTACATGCGCCACAGCCCGGGTTGCCGGGCGTGCCGGAAATCCGATGGCGGCTGCGCGGTCTATAACGTGAATTCGAGCCGGCAAGGCCCAGCGCTATCTTGTGCTCCCGGTCATCCGCTTGCGGTGCCCGAGCGGACCAAGCCGTGGACAGCAAGCAACTGGTGCTAAACGGCATGGCGAAACTCAAATCCGAAACTCTTGACTCGATGTCGATCTCCCAGCAGACGGATACCCCCAAGCAGGACTTGCTTGCGGCGAGCGCGCAGAATGGCAGAGATGACATTCCAAGTTTCACTGTCGCCGCCGGGCAGGAGCTCACCCCTCTGAGCCGGGAGTACCTGGGGCGTGAAACGCTCGAGCTCGCCAAACTGACTCCGATATTTGGTTGGCGGCTATGGGTGACGATTGCCTGGTGAGAATACACCCGTCCGGCCGAACAGAAGCAGATCTTCCTCCGGGTCTGGTCCCAAACCATGGTCCTAATCAGAGCCGTTCTTCCCGCAGCCTCTGCGCTGGGCTTTTCCTCTCCAGCCTCGAGACGACTATCATCGCCACGGCGCTCGTGTCCATTTCGTCCAGCCTCGGCGGGTACGATAAGTCGAATTGGGTGGCGACGTCCTACCTGATAACGTATACTGGTCTGGCATGCTTCGAGCTCCCAAGATGAACGACCGCGGCAGGCTAGAGCTGACTCGGTGGTGCCCGTTGCGGTCCCAACTAGGATTTCTGATTATATTCGCCCGCATCAGCGACATGTTTGGCCGCAAAGGCACGCTTTGCGGCTCCATCATCATCTTCACCGCCTTCTCGCTCGCGTGCGGTCTGGCCCAGACCATGACTCAACTGTAAGAATAGGAGACAGTCGAAACACCTCACTTGGGGGATGACAGACCTGAGCTGACCGAGGATCTAGCATCATATTTCGAGCGTTCCAGGGCATCGGAGGGGCCGGGGTCTATAGCCTCGCCATGGGCGTCATGGCCGAGATCACGCCGCTCCGCTACCTGGGCATCTCGTCCGGCCTCATGGGCGCCATCTTTGCTCTGTCAAGCCTGCTGGGGCCAATCCTAGGAGGTGTCATCACATCGCACACCACGTGGCGCTGGATTTTCTATCTAAAGTGCGTTGTTGAGTCGCTGGGGCAGTGTACTTGTCCTCTTGTCCACAGGACAAACAGCTAATCGCAACTGTGTGTTCCTAGTGTCCCACTAGGCGTCTCGATACTCGCGCTGGTCTTGTGGATATTTCCTGTCAATAGTGGCGTGCTGTCGCGAAAACGACAAGCTGTGTCGTACATTGACTACCCAGGCATGGTGCTCTCCCTGGCGGGATCCGTCATGCTGACCTTTGGACTCGAGGAGGGCGGGCTCGCCTACTCGTGGAACAGCCCGCCCGTCGTGGTAGCCTTTGTCGTTGCCGGCGTCGCCTTTGTGGCCTTTGGGGTCTGGGAATGGTACATTTCGGAAAAACGGAACAGCAACAGAAAGCTCAAGACGTTACCGCTATTCCCGGTGCACCTTGCTACCAGGCGCGTCTCGGGGTTTGCCCTACTGTAAGTTTGCACAACCTGCCTTCCTCCCACACGTTGGCCTGCTTTCATTCTCCTTATGTGTGTGGTCTAACAAGAGGCATAAAGGACCGCCCTCATTGCCGGATTTCCGTTCATGATGACCATCATCTTCCTCCCCCAGCGCTTTCAACTGCAGAACGGCTTATCCCCGATCGATGCAGGCATCCGCATGCTCGCTCTACTTATCCTGTCGGCGACGGGCGCCGGGCTGGGTGGCATCATCGCAACCCGGCGCAACATCAGCTGGTACATCCTGGCGGGCTCGCTGGCACTGCAGCTGGTGGGTCTCGGCTTGATGTCGACGCTGCCCACGGCGGCAGGCGAGGTGCGCGCCGCGCAGTATGGTTACCAGGTTGTGCTGGGACTGGGTTTCGGTCTCACGCTGAGCAGCCTGGCTATCGTGTTGCGCATGGAGGTCGACGCAGCGGACAGCGGCGTGGCGTTTAGCGCCATCACGCAAGTGCGGGTGCTGGGGGGCCTGATCGGCATTGCGGTAGGCCAGGCGGTCCTGACGCGGAGGCTGCTCGCCGACCTCGGCGCGGTGCTCCCCCCCGAGAAGATTGCGGCGCTCCTGCGCTCGACCACGGCGATTGCCGACTTCACCCCCGAGGAGGCAGCCGACACGGCACAGGTGTACGGCGAGGCCTTCAACCTGCAGAACCGAGTCATGCTGGGATTCGGCGCCGCGGGCCTGCTTGCGTGTCTCGGCGCGTGGAAGCGGCACCCTGTCGAGTTTGCCGATCTCGAAGAGAAACGGCGCCGCGCCGCCGGGGGTGAGACTGCAGCTGACCAGACAAACCGCGCTCATGATGGCGGGGTGGTTGGGGGTCGCTCGTCATCCGATTAGACTCTGCATAAGGTACATGTCGGATACAATTATCGAAACAACCTAGGTACCGGCTTTGTCAACATCAGCAGAGTCTGCTCGTGGTTATAGAAGGGATGATTGGGGATATTGTTATCTTGAGCCATACGATAAAGACAAGTAGGCGCCTCATTCTTATTTTGGTAAAGCCATTTTGAGCCAGGCAATGGCTGCCTCTCACAACCTCAGCTGCTCTGTTCTCGCGTGTGGCGGTGACCTACCCGAGTCACCGGGAAGGTACCCTGGAATTGAGTCAGCAAAGGCTGCAAAGCTACAATCTAGGTAGCGTTGATCGATATTACTGCAATATCTTGGCCGTTACGGTGGCCAGATATCACCTGCTTGCTTGCTGCAGTAGGCGGTGTTACACAGCACACGTCAAGTTGCGAGCGACTGTGCACTCGAGCCTGCTAAGGCTAGGCCAAGATCATCCGCACAAGAAGGGAAAAATAAGCGAATGCGAGCCGCACCCAACCTATCCTCAACAACCAACCATCGGTTTCTTCCGGATCCCGTCTCACATCATTCGGCGACAATCAAACGGCTCACGCACGTCAGCTCTCAGGAAGGGGCCCTAACACCTCTTGGCCCAGCGCTGTTTCACTGCTCCCTCCATGAAAAGATGTCTCTCCCTTCTGCCCTGAAGTATGTGACGCGTAATTCTTTCTTGGCTAATTGCCCTGGGGCAAACCTTCAGACTCTCCCTTCTTCCATCTCTTAAGGGATTGTGTGATCTTTTTAAGCATCGGTCCGCACCACTAAGCCAGCCCTGAGAAATGGAATCCCACGCCCAATCCCAACACCAAACTCGGCAAAGTGTCAGGCTGCCAGCAGCCTCTTTCTGAGCTCCATTGCATCTTTTCTGTCTCCGGCTTTGCCGAACTCCCCTGTCAGCAGGACCTTCCAAGCAGCCTTAGGCCATCCTCTTTTCCTGCAACGCAACGTCTCCAGTTATCCCGGCGGGTCCAAGCCAGCTTCCAGTGTCCCCCCAGCAAGCATCATGTCCACCGTTCAGCTGCCGCCCGGCGCCATCCGGCCACCGCCCTACGTGGTGGTCTTCGGCCCTGACGCCAACTGTACGCTCCAGATCTGCCCGGTGGAGATATCCGTGTACGGCTACCGGCCCTCGCTTGCGGCCAACATCTCCTTCATTGCCTTGTATGCAATCGCTTCCGCGATCCACATCTACCTCGGAGTGCGGTGGAAGCAGTGGTGGTTCACAGGCTGCATGATTATCGGCGCTGTCAACGCCATCATCGGATACGTCGGCCGTGTCCTGCTGTACTACAACCCCTTCAGCTTTGCGGCTTTTGTGTTGCAGATTAGTGAGTTCCAGTCGCCTTCCTTCTTTGTTGTTTGTTTCCTTTCTTTCCTCTCTCCAGTTTTCACCCTTTCCTTTCAATCATGGATAAATACCGCCAGGAACTTTCGAATACTAACCAGTCGCAAAGTCTGCATCACGACAGGGCCGGTATACTACTGTGCTGCCATCTACATCACGCTCGCTCTCGCCATCAACTTCCTCTCGCCTGACCTGTCCCGGTTCAAGCCCAAGCTCTTCTACTACATCTTCATCCCCTGCGATCTCTTCTCACTCGTCGTCCAGGCGGCCGGCGGCGGGCTCTCGACCTCGACGAAGGGCCAGAGCCAGACGGGCGTGAATCTCGCCCTCGTCGGGCTGTCCTTCCAGGTCTTCACCATCCTCCTCTTTTGCTTCTTCTTTGGCGACTATCTTATCCGCTACTGGCGCTCGGGGCGTTGGCAAGACGGCGTCGCTTCCCGGGGAGACTCGGCCACCCGCCTGAAGCTCTTCTTCGGCTTCATGGTTGTGGCCGTCCTGTTCACCCTTATTCGCTGCGCGTATCGACTGGCGGAGCTCAACCAGGGCTACAGGGGTCACTTGATTCGTGACGAGCCGCTCTTTATAGCATTTGAAGGAGTGTAAGTCTGGTCTTTTTTCCTTCTCGGAGATATTCAAAACCCTTTCTCTCATTCTTCTCTGTCTTGCGGTTTTGCTGACTCGGACGGTTTAGTATGGTTCTCGGTGCGGTGTATTGCCTCATGGTCGGACATCCAGGCCTGGTATTCAGGCCGGACCAGAAGCTTCGACCACTGGCAGCGGGACAGGATCGGACATCGGGACACAGTGGGCAGGAATTGACAGAGCATCCTTCTCGCAAAACGACGAATCAGTGATTCCACAGGAGCGTTGTCCTGACATAATGGAACGACGGACAGGCCGACGGGATGTTGGTTCAGGGCATGTTGAAAAGAGATACCAAGATTAACGTAGTGAGATAATTAGTTAGCGACTTTTCCCATCAGACATCGGCTACTGTTTAGCGGCGTTAAAAGTGCCGTAGACCGGAATGAGTTGCGCCGGCGATGCCCGCGTGGTGGGCGTGTAAGATGTCGAAGGAAAAAGCCAGGAGCTATTCAATGCGGACACGGCGGCCTGCGTCCAACTGAGCTGATATCTGGGTGGTACGTAGGGCCTTAGACATCGTGGATGCGGGGCTACTTTGCAGGTGCCTCAATGTCAAGCAAAACTTGAGGAGGCGGCACTTCTTCCAATGTTTCTTGTTGCCTTCAAGTTACTCGGCGTAGAGTCGCAGCCAGAAACCAAAGCTGGCATCAGGCATTGCGCGCGGTGTCCAGATCAGCGGCTGGTACTAAGGAACCGTTCACTTCAAAGCCGGTCAACGATTTCCCCTATTTCTATCGAAGACAAGATTTCCCACGCTTCCGAGCAAAAAGCCTGCATATCCTCAGCCCAAGCATATTGGGAGGAGTGGTTACCAAGGATGCGCCCTGATCCTCACGCCCTTGGTGTCCTTCTTCGGGAGAGGAAGGAAGCCGTCCACCGAGCACTCAATATCGCTGTCGTCCGTCTCAAACAGCTCCAGGTATCCCACGTCGCCGTTCATTCTGACCTCCCTGGAGCCGTACCGGCCAAAGAGCGCCGCAAGGACGAGGTAGATTTCGGCTAGGGCGAGGTTCATTCCCAGGCACCGCCGCGATCCCTTGCCGAAGGCGACCTGGAACCGCGCCAGCTTGGGGTTCTCTATCCAACGCTCCGGCCGGAACCGTCGGGCCAGAGGGAAGATGCCCTCGTCAAGAAGCATGTCCAGTTGCGTCATGGAGACGGGCGTGTTGGGCGGGATCCGCCATTCCCGGCCGTCTCCCCCAGGCACCACTAGTTCTTCGTCTGGGGCGAGGCGCGTCAGCCGCGACGCTACGCCGTAGCTGCGGCGCAGGGACTCTTGGATGACAGCGTTGAGGTATGGAAGCCGTTCGAGAATGGGGAGGAGGGCTTCTTTGGTTGGCGGCCTGTTGGCTGTTGTTGCCGAGCGATCGGCGCCGGGCAGAGCCGCTGCGAGCTCTTGCTTGAGTCTGACGAGACATTCGGGCTCCCGAAGCAAGTAGTATACGGCCACGGTGAGGGCCCAGGCCGTGGTGAGCGTTCCCGCGCCGATGAGCACCCCGCCTTCTTCCGCGAGTCGGACAAAAGTCTTCTCATCCGGCGGTAGCTTGCTGTCCAGGAGCTCAACAAAGATTGTACGGTGCGCGGCGGGATGGCGCTGCTCATCGGGCGATCCGTTGAGGATACGGGCTACCTGGGCACCGATGCTCTTTGCGCGCGCGTCAGTGTCCGCCTTGTTCTTGGTTTTGTGCGGTAACCTGGGCCCTGGCAATCTGGAGGAGGAGCATACCATTTGTAGATTGTAAAAGGAGGTCAGTGTTGGATTGAGCTTCAGCATCAAGGAACTGGGAGCCTTTCTCACGAGGCGTAGGAGGACGGGAAACTGTCTCGACAGGAAGAGTTGGCGGCCTGAGTCAAGCAGCGACTCCTGGAAAGCAAGATCGAAGTCCGGAACCTCGACGAGGCGGCTTGGCTTGCCGATGGCGTACTGCATGGTGATATCTGCAGCATTCGGGGCATGTCAGCGGGAAGGAAAGACATTGAAAAAAGAACGAGGAAAAAATGAAAGAGCAGAATAAAAAAAGGTCATTCGCGTTACCCGCCGTGAGTGCGCTGCAAGCCGTATCAATCCTAAGCACCTGACCGTCGGCCCTAAAACCGTCGACGCGGCGCATAAAGGCGTCGACGACCTTCTGGATGACGGGCTCCAGCTGCCGCACCTGACCCATGGAGAAGAACTGGCTCAGGGCCGCCTTGCGCATTCGATGGGCATCGTGGGCCACCGTGGCAAACGTCGATGTGTCCGCGCCGAAGCCGCGCGTAGCGTAATACCACTTATGCCGCCGGTGACCCGGCCCGCTATAAAGCACATCGTAGAACTCGGGTGTCTGCACGTGGATCTCGAGAGGGTTGATGCGGATGACGGGGCCGTACTTCTGGTGCAGCTGATTGATGTGGAAAATGTATTTCCCTCCGAGCCATACGTCGTAGTAGAACTCGTACCTTGGGGGAGAAGAGAAATACTGAGTCAATATGTGCTTGGTAGTCGATTCAAGATGGCGGGTGCCACCTCCACAACTGTTCCAACTGAGGACTCGAGTTGGTTTGAGGTACCTACCAGAATGTCGCGGCAGCAAGCTTCGGGCCAGGAAATTTGCTCAGAGGACTCAGATAGAGGCGATAGATGGCGAGCGCGAGGCCATACACAAAGTAGGCCCCGACCAAGACGGCCAAGGCCTTCAGCGTGAAGATGTCGCTGGTTTCGAGCAGCATGATTACGGTGCCTGTGGCCTTCAACAAAAGTGGCCTAAAGCAGTCTTCCGACAACATACATCACTACCGGCATCCTGCCTTGACGCTTTCTTTTCAGTCTGCAACGACGACAGGGTCCTGTAGGGAACCTTCTCATCAGAGGACCGAGGCTAGGGACCATTCGACCGCCCCGCATTGTACATTTGGTCTCGGTGCGATTCCTGCTTCTTTCTCATACAGAATTCTGCCGCACGTGGGATGCGGTGTCCTCGACTTCCAACGCACTGGAGCGGCGTCGTAGGAAAATTGGCTAGTCACCGTCATGCAACAAAGACGCCTGATTTGGCTGGAGTGGGCGGAAAGGATCCCGCCAAGCCTACCATCTGCCCTTTCGTGATTTCTGGAGAACTGGCGCTCCACCGGCGTCAGCCGCCCGGCGAGTTTTTGGAGCGGCGAAAGTAGCTGCGGGTCCTTTGGGGTGGTTGTGTACATCATGCAGGACATTATCCTTGCGGTGGGATGCAGGCGCAGCTTGTGCAGACACAGTGGTGTTATTGCTATGTACCCACAGCGATGTGGCTGTGTTGTGTATATGGTGGAGAAAAAGGCAGTGGGCGGGCCGGATGGATTCGGTGGAAGAATCAGGGACTCCAGTATTGTACCTCGCTACGGATCCGTACTTTGAAGTTACATAACACTTAATTGGAACCTCACCTAAGCCGCCCCCTTCACAAGTTACAACGTCAAACCGAGAACAACTGGCAGCGCGACAAGCGACCCGAGCAGGCAGAAAGTCGCCGCAAATCCAACGGCCCAGAGGTCCCAGTTCTTCGCTTTCCACCACGGCATCCTTGCGTCTGCCGTCTGCAGGTGCATTCCTCTCGGCGAATACCTGCGGCCACCGCGGGTCAGGTTCCCCAGCCATGCTCGCTCCTCCTTGCGCCTTCCCTCCCAGTCGACGAGCACCTCCTCAATCAGGTCAGCCGCGAGGTGCTTCCTGCGTGCGGCGATATGTGCGATGCGCTGCATCCTTTCCGTGCTCGCTGTTATTGGGCCGCCGCGAGCGAGGTCCTCTGCGAGGCGCTCGATGGCGTCCTGGACCTGGTCCGCCTTCAGCGTATCCTTGTTCAAGGCGATAGCGACACCCGTGTCGCGCAGCCGCATCGCGTTCTGTAGCTGGTCGAAGTAGACGGCCACCGTAACGAGCGGCACCCCTGCGTAGACGGCTTCGTTGGCCGACGCCGGCCCGGCGTGGCTGAGAAACGCCGCGATGCGATGGTCGTGCAGGAGCGCCCGCTGCGGGGCGTGGTTGACAAACAGCACCGACGGGTGGCCGTTGGCGAGCAGGCTGGCGACTGTCATGGACATCGTCATGTCGGGTTTCCACCGCGCTCCTTCGATCCGTGTTTTGTCTGCACCAGCACCGGCACCACCATCACAGCAATCTTCTCCCCCGTTGCGGCGAGGCGGGTCAAATGCCGGGACCGCCATCTGCGCTGCCTGGTCAAGCTGCTTCCGTGCCATGGGTCGGATGGCCCAGATTACGCCGTCGACGGCCCCTGAGCGCAGGGCCCCGAGCACCCCCGCCAGCAGCTGGCTCATGACGGTCGCTGGGAGAAGAACGTGCGTGCCGAGGGAGGCATAGAGGACCCGTCTGCGCCTGCTAAGGAACCGCTCGTACGTCTCGTCCAGTGGCTCCGCAGGCGCCTCGCTGAGGACGGGGCCGATGGCAGCGACATTCGGGGGCAGGTCCTTGGCAGCCTCCAGTCCAAAGAACGAGTTCACCAGGCACAGGTACTCGGGCTTGGTGAGCACCGGTAACGGCCGCGTAACCCCCGCCGTGAAGCGCATGCCCCGCCGCCAGCGCAGGTAGCGCAGGTAGTGCGGGAGCGATGTGTAGATGGCGACGGCGCTGCGCAGGCGCTGCCACAGCGTCGCGAACTCGGACGTCAGGACCTCAATCTGCAGGCCCGGCGTGCCAGGAATGTAGGGGGCCGGGAGCATTGCCGTGGGCATCTGCGGCCAGTGCATCGCCAAGGGTATGTCGTACTCGACGCTCATGTCGCGGGCCGCATCAACCCAGTAATCGGCCAGGATGAAGTCGGGCCTAGTCGCCGGGTCCTGCATCAGCCTGGAGAGACCGCGGTAGGCGTTGGGCCAGGACGACTCGAGATACATGCGCGTCTCGAAGACAGCGGCCCAGTTGGACATGAGGTTGGTCGTCCAGCTTGACATGCGGATGTAGTTGGCCTCCTCGACGTCGGCCGACTCCGAGGGCCCGATGACGTGGAAGCTGGACACGAACGGGCAGTCCTTAATCCACTGCTCACGCCCGGAAAACGTGGCAAAGTCAATAGAGTATCCCCTGGATGCCAGAACGCTGGCAATCTCGAGCACGGGCGCTATTCGTGTGGTCCGGTATCGCGGTCAGCAGCCTGCTACCTCCCCAAGGCACTTTCGTGTTCGCGGCAAAGCTCTGAGAGCACACGTACCGGCGTTAGTGTACCCGCCAGCTGTTACAACGACCAAGATCTTTCGTGGCCTCGACGGAGAGACCTCATCATGGCTTCCTCCTCCGGAGTTAGTGAGCGAGGGGCGAAGGCTTGGTGATGCCATAGTCGGACGCTCCGATTCTCCGGTAAGCAGCCACGCACACAAGAGGCAGCGTGATAGACCGCTCCCTCCGAGGTTCGTTCTTATCGATGTTAGAACCGCGATGAGTTCCTGAGGGAAAGCTACTGAGGTGGGATGAGAGGCATGCAGCCTTCAGCTGACATGGTAAGCTCTCTCGCCGCCGCAAACGTGCAGTCGGACATGCCGCTATGGAGAAGTGATATTCTTACTGAGCAGCCGCCAACTTGCACCCTGGCGTGGCAGTTCGGTCCGCAAGGCGGCGACTTTTATGCCATTCTCCCCGCTCCCCCGATGGCGCGATTTTGCTGCGAGTTTCGGAAACGTTTCGGTACCGACCTCGGTGCTGGATTCCCTGTGTTGCGGGATCGATGGGATCCCAACTTCAACTCCTAATCAGGGTTGAGTGCTTAGGAATTGGGATACTTAGATAAGACACCTCACGCCCGTTCCGCTGACAGCTCTCCCTCTCACACAGCAGCGCGGTCGCCTGTTGCCTTCCCAGCTGTAACTCAACTCGTAGCCTCTTGGTAGCCACTACCGGCTCTACTTTGTCACACTCGCCTTCCACGTTCTTGATTCAACATATCACAGACCCCGACACGATGGGCTACACCAATGGAAACAGGTGGGAGGGCAGCCTGCTATCAACTCCCGACGAGGCTGTCCTCCCGATCGCGATCGTGGGCATTTCCGGCCGCTTCCCCGGCGATGCTGAGAACCCCAAGAAGCTGTGGGACATGATGGCCGAGGGCAGAAGTGCCCTCTCTGATATCCCCGCGGACCGGTTCAACGTCGATGCTTTCTACCATCCCCACAATGAACGCCAAGGCACCGTCAACGTTAAGAAGGCTCACTTCATGCAGCGCGACATCTCGGCTTTTGATGCTCCGTTTTTCAGCATGTCCATCGCCGAGGCCAAGGCCATGGATCCGCAGCAGCGCATGGCCCTCGAGTGCACCTACGAGGCTCTGGAGAACGGTAAGGGGATGGCTGGACTTGATGCGACGAAGTGTCTTTCTCGCTGACTTTCTCCATCGTAGCTGGCGTGCGGATGGAGGACGTCGATGGCTCCAACACGGCGTGTTACGTTGGCTGCTTTACGCGCGACTACAGCGACATGCTCGCCTGCGATCGTGAAGACTTGCCCCTGTACCAGGGTACGGGCACGGGTTCTGCCATCATGTCGAACCGCATCTCGTGGTTCTTCAATATGAAGGGCCCCAGCATCAGTCTCGACACGGCCTGCTCCTCTTCCATGGCTGCCCTGCATCTCGCTTGCCAGAGTCTGCGCACCGGCGAGTCCACAATGGTACAGTCTCCCTGTGCCTTTTCTTTCTGCACTCAGATAACCAGCTAATACGTTGTGCCTTGAAGGCCGTTGTCGGTGGCACCAACCTTATGCTGCTCCCCGACATCATGGGTGCCATGACCAGACTGCACTTTCTGAGCCCGGACGGCAAGTGCCAGTCCTTCGATCACAAGGGTAATGGCTACTCGCGCGGTGAAGGTTCGTGCTACTACTCCTCCTCCTACTACTGCCTTACCTGGCTTTCTTGGGACGAGAGAGACGTTGTGCTAATGCGTGCCAGGTGCTGCATTCTGCGCCCTGAAGCCGCTCCATCTGGCCTTGGCGAACGGCGATGTGATCCGGGGTGTCATTCGCAACACAGCCGTCAACCAGGACGGTAACACGCCTGGTATCACCTTGCCGTCCGCTGAGGCGCAGGAGGCTCTAATCCGCCGAGTCTACGCCGAGGCCGGACTGAGTCTGGCTGAGACGGCCTACGTCGAGGCCCACGGTACCGGAACTCCTGCTGGTGATCCGGTGGAAGCGGCCGCCCTGGGAGCCACGTTCGGCAAGGCCAGAGTGCCTGGGAAGCCGCTCTACATCGGTTCGGTTAAGTCGAACGTGGGCCATCTGGAAGGCGGCTCCGGCCTGGTCCAGGTGGTCAAGGCCGTCATGATGCTCGAGAAAGGCCAAATCCCACCGTCCATCTGGTTCGAGAAGCCGAATCCGCGCATCCCCATGGACGAGTGGAACCTGGCGGTCCCGACAATGCTGATGCCGTGGCCAGTCGACGGTCTGCGGCGCATCAGCATCAACTCGTTCGGTTACGGCGGCACCAATGCCCACTGCATTCTCGACGACGCCTACCACTACCTGAAGGCACGACGCCTCATCGGCAACCACAATGTCCAGAGCATAGGTGGCGCGTCGCCCGCCTCGACTGCCGACTCGGGCGTCGAGATTGGGCGGGACCTGGATTCGGCGGGCCTTGGGAGGATTGAACAGGGTCTGACGCTCTGGAAGTCGTTGGACTCGTCGGACCCTATCCCGTATGACAAGTTGAGCAGCAGCCCAAAGCTGCTCGTCTTAAGCTCGCACGAACAGGGAGGCATCCAACGCACGGCACGGCTCTACGGCGAGTACCTCGCGCACAAGCTGAAGGAGGACTCGTCCGCTGGCAGCGTGGGGATCAAGGAAGACAGGAAGCTACTGGCCAAATTTGCGCGTACATTGGCGACGCGACGCAGCATCTTGCCTTGGAAGTCCTTCGCCATTGCCGGGACAATTGCCGACGCCGTCACTCAGCTCGAGAAGTCGGTCATCGCGCCGCTGCGGTCGGCTGGCAACATGAAGAAGTTGCCCAAGGTTGGCCTCGTGTTTACCGGACAGGGCGCGCAGTGGTATGCCATGGGACGCGAGCTGTACTCGCATCCTGTCTTCCGCGAAAGTTTGGAGGCTGCGGGCCGGCACCTTGCCCGGATCGGAGCGTCGTGGTCCCTCGTCACAGAGATGTGGCGGGACGAGAAAGACTCCCGCCTCGAGTCGGCCGACCTAAGCCAGCCTATCTGCACGGCCCTTCAGGTTGCCCTCGTGGATCTCCTGCGGCACTGGAACATCAAGTACGACGCCGTGGTGGGCCACTCGAGCGGAGAGATTGCTGCCGCTTACGCCAAGGGCGCCCTCACGCGTGAGAGCGCGTGGGAAATCGCCTACCACCGCGGCCATCTCTCGAGCTGCATCCGAGGCTTCGCTCCCGGCCTCCAGGGCGCCATGCTGGCCACCGGCCTCGGCCCTGAGGACGCCGAGAAGTACATTGCCCGTCTTACCAAGGGCAACGCGACCGTCGCGTGCATCAATAGCCCCGCGAGCACGACCCTGTCCGGGGACGCTGACGCCATTGACGAGCTCGAGCAGCTGATCAAGGCGGACGGGGCCTTCGCCCGCAAGCTTCGCGTCGACGTTGCCTACCACTCTCCCCACATGCACGTCATTGCTGAACAGTACCGCCAGGCGCTGGGCGACCTGGTGCCCCTTGCCGAGGCCGACAACGACGACGAATACTCCCGGGTCCGCATGTTCTCGTCCTTGACGGGACAGGAGGTCAAGAACAGTGAGCTGGGCGCGCAGTACTGGGTCGCGAACATGACGGGACAGGTCAACTTCCTCGGAGCCGTGCAGGGCCTGCTGTCGTTCTCGGACGATAAGGGAACCGGCAAGCGGCGGGCAGCCAAGAAGGCGTTTGTGCAGCACCTGATCGAGGTCGGCCCGCACGCGGCGCTCAAGGGGCCACTCAGGCAGATCCTCGACCACGACAGCCTCAAAGGCCTGGCTGCAAGCGACGTCAGCTACGGCGCCGTGCTCCAGCGCGGCAAGGACGCCTGCGAATCGGCTCTCGCGATGGCCGGACGCCTCTTCCAGATCGGCCTACCCGTCGACATTAGCTGCGTCAATGGCGACCCGGAGCCGGGTCGGTCCTTGGACGGCTTCCTCGTCGACCTGCCGCCCTTCAGCTGGAACCACAGCCTGAAGTACTGGTCGGAATCTCACACGGCCAAGGCCCACAGGTTCCGCGAGCACCCGCGCAAGGACCTATTCGGCTCCGAGACGTTGGAGATGCTCGGCGACGAGCCCCGGTACCGAAACATCCTCCGCGTGACCGAGGTTCCGTGGGTGCAGGACCACAAGGTGCAAGGCTCGATCCTGTATCCGGCCGCCGGCATGATGATTGCGGCCATCGAGGCCATGCACCAGAGAGCCGACAAAAATACCGAGATTGAGGGCTACGAGCTGCGTGACGTGATCATCGGCAAGGCCATCGTGGTGCCGCAAGACGAGGACGGCGTCGAGACCATGCTCTCCATTAAGCCCTTCCGCCTCGGCTCTCAGGCGCTCACGGCGGTCTGGAATGAGTTCCGGCTGTACTCGCGCAAAGAGGTCTGGGAGCTGAACTGCTCGGGCCTCATCCGGGTCCAATACAAGTCCAAGCCGGCGGCAGCGGCAGAGAAGTCCGGCCTGCTGTTCGCCAACGAGGAAGCGCTCGCAGCACAGGAGCTCGCCGGCCAGTACCGGCGGGTGCGGCAAGACTGCTCCCGGACGCAGAACCCGCGACATTTCTACGAGCATCTGACGTCCATCGGGCTGTACTACGGGCCCGTCTTCCAGAACATCGTCGAGGCCAGGAAGGGCGACTTCGAGAGCGCGTGCAAGGTTACGATCCCCGACACCAAGAGCACCATGCCACACGGTTTCGAGTTCCCACACGTCATCCACCCAGCCACGCTGGACGGCATGATCCAGCAGGCATTGCTCGCCTGCACGGCCGTTGACGAGGATCTGACGGTGGCCATGGTGCCGACCGCCATCGGGCGCCTGTACGTGTCGGCGTCGGTGCCGACCGAGCCGGGCCGCGTGCTGCCCGGCTTCGCGAGCACCGGGGAGACCGACGCTGGCACACGCGAGGCCCGCATCGTGCTGGGCGACTCGGAAGAGTTTAACAAACCGCTCATTATCTTCGAGGGCGTCAGAAGCGCGACGCTGGCCAGCGCTGCTGCCGGCGAGGCCGCCGCCTCCGTCCTTGGCCTGCGCAAGCTCACCTCGGCATTCCACTGGAAGCCTGATCTGACGCTGCTGGATAAGACGCAGATCAAGGCGCTGTGCGATGTTGAGGTCGGCGACAGGGGCCGCGTCGATCGCAAGTTGCTCGAGGAGCTCGAGATTGCGTCCCTCATCTACATCAAGCGTGTCATGAAGGAGTGCCCGCGCGAGGAGGCCGAGGGCTTTGCGTGGAACTTCCGACTCTTCTGGGAGTACATGGAGCATTGCTACCAACGCGGCAAATTGGGCAAGCTCTGCTACCAGACGCCCAACGCCAATTGGCTCGATATGGCTCCTGAAGAGGAGGAGGCGCTCTTGGCCCGCGTGGCTGCTTCGTCCCCTGACGGTGCGGTGCTCATCGAACACGGCGAGCATCTGCCTGCAATTCTGCGTGGCCAGGTGCCGCCGCTGCAGATCCTGATGCGCGACAACTTCCTGCAGAACTTCTACAAGGATGGCCTCGACACCGAGAGGCACTACGCCCAGATGGCCTTTTACATCGGCCAGCTCGCGCACAAGAATCCCAACATGAAGATTCTCGAGATTGGCGCTGGCACCGGTGGCGCCTCGCTCCCTGTACTCGAGGCCCTCGGCGGCAACCACGGCACGGCGCCGCGTTTCGAGAGCTATACCTTTACCGACATCAGCATTGGCTACTTTGAGAAGGCGCAGGAGAAGCTGGCGCCCTGGGTGCCCTTCATGAAGTTTGTGAAGCTCAACATCGAGGAGGATCCCTTGACTCAGGGGCCGTTCGAGGAGGCATCGTACGATCTGATCGTGGCGTCCAACGTGCTCCATGCCACGCGCTTCATTGAGACGACACTGAAGAACACAAGGAAACTGCTGAAGCCGTATGATGAACCCCCTGCCCTGGTCCCGTCAACAATGTGCAACCCTTGGCTGACAGTTAAAGCAGAAACGGAAAGCTTGTCCTCAGCGAGATCACTAATCCGTCCCAGAAGATGCGCTCTCACATGATTGTCGGCTCCCTCGAGGGCTGGTGGTACGGTACGTCGACCGGAATGGGTTGGCTCCTAGCTGCCGTCACACAATCCAAAGCTACTGGAAGATTGAAATGAGCACTGACTGGTCTTGCTCTCTAGGGGAGGAGGACGGCCGCCACTATGGCCCCACCCTGACCGTCGACCAGTGGCACGACGAGATGCTCAAGGCCGGGTTCGATGGCGTCGAGGTTGACCTTGGGAACTCTGAAGACGAGCGCGACCTCAACCTGTCCGTCATGGTGACAAGCCCGACGGCGCCACAGCTGCCGGCGCCGCCCAAGAAGGTGCTGGTGGTCCTTCCTGCCGGTCCCGAACCGGACGTACAGGCCTTTGCCGACAAGATGGCCGAGCGGCTTCGGGCTGCTGGGACGGCCAACGTCGTGATTCTGAAGCTGCAGGAGGCGGCCGGCCTAGACCTTGATGAGGACAGCAACAACTTCACGTCTTGCCTGTTTCTGCTGGACGCGCAGCGGCAGCGCCCCTTCCTGCCCGAGGTGTCGACAGAGGACTGGGAGGCCCTGAAGAAGCTCATGCTCCAGTCCTGGGACGTGACGTACGTGACGCGCGGCGGCACCGTGCACAGCGAGAATCCATCAGCCAACCTCATGAGCGGCATGGCGCGGAGCATCCGGTCCGAGACGCCGGGGCTGGGACTCGCGACGCTCGACCTCGACTACAACAAGCCGCTCGACTCCGAGGACACGGTGCAGGGCGCCTACAAGGTATTTGTCACGGCGTGCGCCGCGCGCGACGCCGCCCGCCCGGACTGGGAGTACGCGGTGCGCGACGGCGTGCCCATGGTGCAGCGCATCCTGCTCGACAAGGAAATGAACGACATGTGCCTGCGTTACAGCGTGCTGCCCAAGCCCGAACCGGCACCATTCCGACAGCCTGGCCGACCGCTCAAACTCGAAGTTGGCACGCCCGGCAGGCTCGACACGCTGCGGTTCAACGACGACCCGACTGTTTCGGAGCGCGTGCCGCTGGGTGAGCGCGAGGTCGAAATCGAGATCAAGGCCGCGGGCCTCAACTTCAAGGATGTCATGGTAGCCATGGGCCAGCTCTCGCAGCCCGCGCTCGGCGTCGACGCTAGTGGGGTGGTACTGCGCGTTGGCGACGGCGTCACCGCCGTGAAGGCCGGCGACGCCGTTTTCACGTGGAAGCTCGGCACCTTCGGCAACCTCACACGTGCCCACGAGTCCATGGTGCAGCCCATCCCCCGGGACATGGACTTCGTGACAGCAGCCTCCCTGCCCGTCGTCTACAGCACAGCCCACTATGCCCTCTCGCGCGCCGGGCGGTTGCGCAAGGGAGAGAGCATCCTCATCCACAGTGCCGCCGGTGGTGTGGGCCAGGCGGCAATCATTCTCGCGCAGCACATTGGGGCCGAGGTGTTTGTGACGGTCTCGTCCGAGGCCAAGAAGCAACTCCTGATCGACCGGTACGGCATCCCCGAGGACCACATCTTCAACAGCCGTGACACGAGCTTCGTCAACGGTATCAAGCGCCTCACCGCTAACAAGGGCGTCGACGTCGTCCTCAACTCGCTTGCCGGCGAGCCGCTCCGGCTCACGTGGCGGTGCATCGCCCGCTTTGGCCGCTTCGTCGAGATGGGCCAAAAGGACATCGTCGGCAACACGGGCCTCGACATGGAACCATTCCTCCGCAACACCTCCTTCCATGCCATCAACCTGCTGGACCTGCTCGACCACGACCCGCCCACCGCGGCTGAAGTGTTCGCCGAGGTTGCGGCGCTGCTCCGTGACGGGGTCGCACAGCCGGTCGCGCCCATCACGTCCATGCCCTTCTCCCGCGTCGAGGAGGCCTTCCGCACGATGCAGACGGGCAAGCACCTGGGCAAGATCGTGCTCGAGGCCGTGGACGACGACACGGTTCCCGTGATCCCGGCGCCACTGCAGCCGGTTCAGTTCGCGCCCGACGCAACGTACGTCATCGCCGGCGGCAGCGGTGGCCTGGGACGCGCCACGGCCGAGTGGATGGTGCGGTCCGGCGCGCGCAACATCCTGCTGCTGTCCCGCTCGGGTACCGCCAAGGAGAGCGTGCGCCAGCTGCTCGTCCGCCTCGAGGCGCAGGGCGCCAGGGTGGCAGCACCACCTTGCGATGTCGGCGACAGGGAGAACCTGCGCCGCGTGCTGGACCAGTGCGCCGCCGATGGCTGGCCCAAGGTTTGCGGCGTAATCCAGGGCGCCATGGTTCTGCGCGATGCGGTAAGCAATCGTCTTCTTCTCCCTCACCCCTCGAGAAACTCAGCTAGGCTGACCTTTTTCTGCACCGCTAGATCTACCAACACATGACCAGGGAGCAGTTCCTTGGCGCCACGCACGGTAAGGTCCAGGGCAGCTGGAACCTGCACGAACTCCTGCCGGCAGACCTCGACTTCTTTGTGTTGCTGTCGTCGTCTGTCGGCATCGCCGGCTCGCGAGGCCAGGGCAACTACTCGGCCGGCAACGCGTACCAAGACGCGCTGGCGCACTACCGCCGGGGCAAGGGCCTCAACGCGTGCTCTATCGACGTGGGCATGGTGCTCGGCGTGGGCTTCCTCGCCGAGGAGACGACGGCGGAGCGCGTGCACGAGAACACAAAGTCGTGGAGCTTCATCGGCATCCGCGAGCCCGAGTTCTTCGGCATCCTGCAGGCCGCCATCACGGGCACCAGCCTGCCCGGCGCGCCGCCAGTCAAGCCCCAGCTCATCACGGGCCTCGGCACAGGTGGCATGATGGCCCAGGGCGCCGAAAAGTACCCCTGGTGGTTCAACGACATGAAGTTTGCCCACATTGTCCAGGTCGACACACACCAGGTCGTGGCGCAGGACAAGGTCGCCGACGCCGGGCAGCTGCAGGCGCTGCTCCAGCAGGCCACCAGCCTCGACCAGGCCGCCGACATTGTTGCCGCCGCGCTGGTCAAGAAGCTGGCCAAGTCGATGATGGTGTCAGTCGGTATGTGCATACATGAAGCTTTTGTTTTTCTTTTGTGTTTTTCTTTTGTCTCTTTGCTGCTGAGTACTGTGACGCTGACGCTGCTGTGCTTTTTCTTTTCCCGCAGAGGACATCGAGGCATCCAGACCGGTCAGCAGCTACGGCGTTGACAGCTTGCTGGCTGTCGAGCTGCGGTCGTGGATTTACTCCGAGGTCCAGGCCGACATCTCGGTGTTTGATTTGCTCAGCAACATTGCCATCTCGTCGCTGGCCCGCAAAATCGTCTCGGTTTCCAAGGCGGTGCCGGCCGCTATTCTGGCCAACGAGTAAAGAGTCTGGTCAAACAGGATGCCCGGGACTCTCACTTTCTTCTCTTCGATTCCCCTGGCTCTTCACCTTTGGCTGTTTTCCTTCTGCCGTTTTTGGTATGCTGTCCCGGGCCCGTTGTCAGCAAAACGTTTTAAAACACAACTGGTGGCCTGCCAAGCGTCAGATTATCCGAGTCGGTCTGGCGCTGGCTGGTGGAGTTCTTGATTGAATTGGGGGGACAAAGGCGTGGGGTGCACAGAGGTTCTTTGTTTGTACAATACCTTGTAGTGAGTGTAAGGTAGCCGGCAGGTCCTTAATCGTAGCATATAATCAGGGAAATCGAACGTTGCTGTTGAAGGATGTTCTTGATTTTTGAGATACCTCATAACGGACTGGGGAATATTGCCACCCATATAGTGGGTCAAACCTGCGCCATTCTTGAATCAGCCGTTGGATCAGCCACTGCGGCGAGTGTGGTACGGATTATTCCCCTACGTACAGTACCTTAGGTGTCAGCTCGGATCTTCCTACATAGTTTGTTCAATGGCCAGCTTCTCCAGCCTGATTCTTGATTCAATCCTCCAGACGCAGCTTACTAGGTTCCATTTGAGAGTCGTACCAACACTAAGGCACACAGTGTTACAATTTGGTAAGGTGATTTACACATTCACGTGCAGGAGCAGACTTCAATCTCTCTGGTTGTGTGATGTTGGGAGTTATTGACTTAATTATGAGAGATGTCAACGTTACCATTTATTTCGAAAAATGGATATTTCTGGACGAACGAACTTGAGTTATTCTGTGATATTTTGGCTCTTAAAACAATGGCTGGTGCCATCAGCTGGTTCAGAGAGGTGTCAATTGCACCCAGGCACCACACTGTTATTGTGCTGCAGGTCCCTTATTCGCGTCAACAAACAATGAACACCTGCCAATGTTGCACGTGAACTAATGCAAGCACGATGCCAGATGTTGCCAAGCCTTATTCACAACAAGAGAACGGGATGGAAGACATGGCGAGGAACCTCCTGTTGTTTTACGGGTGGTTATATATTCCCATCATGTCCCTGGCCATGCTCTGAATCTCATGCACAAGAGCCCAAAAATCAACACATCACGAGCCTCTCCTGAGTCTTGTCCAGCCGAGGCAACCTTGAGCAAGCCAAGCCGAGATAAAACGCCCAAGCAAGCCTCCCTCCTCCTCTCCCCCTCCCCAAGCCAGCCTCTCTAAACCCCTTTCCCAGCCAACGCTCTCTCAAACCCTACACCAAAACACCTGGCAGCAACCCACCATGTGCTACGTGAAGCGCATCGTCTGGTCCTGCGGCTGCATCAAGGGCGCCGTCGTGGAACACCGCTGCAACAAGGTCGGCACTATCGACTGCCGCTTCCGCCATCTGCTCGAGCGGCTCCGCGTGCCCATCCCTTGCCAGCTCTGCAGCAGCCCGGATTCGACCCCATCTCCTATCCGTCGCCGCCATCGTCATCATCGCCGCCGAAGCGTCGGGGTCCGTCCTGTCGCCTTCATCATCCGCCGCCGGAGTTGCAGCGGGAGCAGTGCCGGGTCTGGGTTCGGTACTGGTGGTAGCTGCATGGCGAATAGAAGCAGCCATTGAGGAGGATGGTGACGAATGAGCCGGATTCGGGAGGACAATGGGATGGGTTCAGGAGTATGAACGGGGATGACAGAGTGAGCGTTTTCATGTCAGGGGTTTGCTTTTTCGGTCAATTTGTTGCTGCTTTCGGCAACTCAGGAGGATGGTACAACGGAATATGAGGGAGGAGAGATCTGCTTGAGACTGCCGAGAATGATGGATAGGCATGATACCCGCTACATGCGTACCTAAACATGACTGGACGGGATCCGGCTGACGGGCGTGGCCGCCGCCTGAGCCCCAGAGTCTTGTGTAGTTGAGCCTTTGATGGTGTGATCGGTGAATGAGCATGGGGGTGCTCAATGAGCTCCAAGACTGAGAAGAACAGTAGACGCCCTGCGGTGTGTGAATTTGTAGGATTCGCCGGATTGGAGGGCGAGGACGATGACATGTCTACCGGCGGGCGGCTGAGGTGGTCTCAAGAAAGCTGGCCATTGTCGTTCCATTGATTCCGCCCAGCTGTTCCTTCAGTTAACGGTAGTTTACGTCTGAGTTCGTATTGGCGAGGCGGCGGTCGGGCCAGGCTGAAAAATTGTATGTACAATACCTTATGGGGGTGATGAAAGGTGGGCGGTTCCACTCAGGTTGTGCTCGCCTTGCAGGTAAGTTTGTTGACTTGCGGCGCAGGGCAGATGGCCGCCTCAAGAGCCTCAGACAGCCTGCTGGCAAGTCCGACAACCGCGACAGGGTGCTCCCGTTCGCAAGTGCTCCATCGCCCGCTCGGGGAATGCTGTCCGTAAACCTGTCCGAGGCGCGCCGAATTTGGTCGATGCTGCGAAGAAACGGACCACGTTGTGATGACCCATCAAGCATGGCAGCATTGCTGGGGGCTTTTGGACGTCAGAGCCAATCGATGTCCCAAGGTAGGATTCGCAGAAATGCAGACGGCCAAGCACACACCGGAATCCTGGATTCGCACAAGCAGGGAGTCGAGATGCGAGTTCATGCTGCCGACCATCAAAGCGGCCCCCTCGCCACCTCAATTCCGCCAGTCCACGATCACGATTTCTCTTCCTCGCATCCCGAGCATCGCCCGAGCAAGCAATGAAAAGTAGAATGCCGGTCAGACTTCCATCGATACCCACCCCGCCCGAGCGCCCGAAGGCAAGACCTCGAGAAAGCCGGGGTACAGATCATCGCCACTCTCTATACAGCCGCAGCACGAGGCCAGCAACCGCCACCTTTGCAGGCAGAGCGAGAGTAAAAAGGACCTCACTGTAGGGTACCGAGGATATCGTTCATCAACCCGGGTGGGATCTGTGGCTCCTTTAGGGAACACAAATGGGGACAACTACTATAGAAATGATTCTCTGAAGTATTGTCGACATGAAGAAGAAAAGAAGAAAAAAAATCTAAAAGATGGGAGGGTGCGAGAAACTTAAATACAATCCTGAGGTGGTCTGTGCACGCCTGCAAGGTCGAAAATTTTTTGTATGTGCTGGCACGTGATCTCTGCCAAGGGTAAGCGGGGCATGCCAACGATGACCCACTTCGAGTCAGGGGAGAACAACCGGCGATGGCGAAATCGGACTCGAACACATTCACGCACCAATGCCGGTCATGGGAGCCAGCCAACACAAAAGGAATGACTTGACGATCGGATGGGGCTCCAACCGAAGCTTCACCCCGCATGCCAAATTGGCCTTGGGCGAGATAAGAAGCCCTATTAGGTCTGCCCCGTTCGCGCCCTAGTTGGCTCATTCGGGTTTCGTGATAATCGCTCTACCGGACGCCCGCAACAGTGGCTGGAAAAATACAGTATGCAACCCCATTGGGGGCTGGCACCAGGTGGGTGACGTCCAGCAGTCACTTATCACCCCTGCCCTAGGATTCAAGTACACGACACGCGGCGGATGTTCGGCTCATTGGTCATGAAACCACGGGTACCCGTTGGTTTCCTCGGTCAAATCAGAGCGGTTGACCACTGGCCCATTTGGCGACAACATAACCCGCTGTGTTCTGTCCTTTGGTTGTACAGAAAGAACAAGTCCAAATGCGGTTGGTTGCCCTTGGCATCGTTCTTGACGCCTTGTCCGCACCTGTGCAAATCCACACAGCTGAAACGCCACCGGCAATGGAAACAAGCTTTTCGCCTATCGCCTCTCCCGTTCTTGGCTGACGACTCATTCTGAGACCCTGGCCGAACACACTTGGTTTGGCAGGTCCGGGTCTGAGGCAGCCGGGAGCGTGGCCTGCCTTGTGCAACGCCCACCTGCACTTGTATCTCCTCTGCCCTGATCTCTTGGTTCCTCATACTTGGCTGCATCTTGACCACCGCGATCGTCTGCGGTCGTGTTTTGCATCGACTCGAGGCGTGAGAGGACTCTTGGCACCAGGCGTTCCACCAGCCGTCCAGCCGATTACCCCTCCATGGCAACAATGACGGACCACGCGGCCATCAAAATGACGCAGCCACGAGAAACCCGGGCGACGACCGATTTCGAGACGGATTACCAGCCAGTCAATTGGAAGAGGGTGTTCCTGGCCCCCAAGTATCTGGGTACGTGCAGTGCATGGTCCTACAGACCGGCCAGGAGGGCCAGGCTAACCGGCATGCCAACAGTGCTCTGGATCATCGCCGTCATCATTCTCGTTCTTACGATCATCATCACTGTCCGTCACGACGAAGTAGTCGCGCACCTCCGACCGTGGGCGGAGAAAGTCCGAGACCTCCCAGCGGGGTGGTTAATACCGATCGTCATACTGATCATCATCTCCTTTCCGCCGCTATTCGGTCACGAGATAGTAGCGCTTCTATGCGGCGTGGTATACGGGCTGTGGATTGGCTTCGGGATCGTGGCGGCTGGGACGTTTCTGGGAGAGCGTACGTCTGGGCTGTTACCAAACACAGCATGTCGGATGATTGCTAACAAAGAGTCCAGTTGGCACCTGGTTCGCCTTCCAGTACCTCTTCCGGCGCAAAGCCGAAAAGCTCGAACGAACAAACATCAACTACGGCGCTTTGGCCCGGCTGACCCGTGATGGCGGTTTTTGGGTATGCCAACTCCTCCTGATCATTTTCTAACCAACCCCGACCACATTGTAACCACACAAAACTTCCAGATCGTGCTCTTAATCCGCTTCTCCGCCATCCCTTCGCACTTCTCCACCGCCGTCTTCTCAACCTGCGACGTCAACTTCTGGGCCTTCGCCCTCGCCACCTTCCTGACACTGCCCAAACAGATCTTCCTCGTTTACCTCGGCGTGCTGTTGCTGCAAGACAAGCCCGACCACTCGGCCAAGAACATCGTGTTCGGCATTGCTTTCGCAGTGACAATCGTCATGGCTGCGTACATCTGGTACAAGATGCGCCAGATCAAAGTGGTGCTGCTGGCGGAGCAGGCGGAGCGGAGGAAGGCAGCGCTGGGGGTGCCTGTGATGTCGGATGACGACGCGGGACTCGAAGGAACGGAGCAAGGGGAGATCCAGAGTGGGAGGTCTTATGTGGTTCTTGCGCAGGAGGAGGCGGATATTGGCGTGGCGAGGACGACGAATTCAAGGGAACCGCTGGTGGCGCCGCAGTATCCACTGTATCGGTCGGATCTGGAGTATCAAGGAGCAGGGAGGGACCACATGGGTAGAGAAGCTGTGAGAGAACAGACATGGGTATGAGTGGAGGAGAGCCAGCGAGGATTGTCGGTTCATGGGTTCGTCTGTATTCCCGGGGGGACGGTTTCGGCACTGGTAGGTACTCAGCGGATATGGCGTCTACCGTTTACGATTTGGGATCTGATACCGCGCGCGGTCTTCCTTGATCTTCAGCGTGAGTAGGTCTGACTTGGACGTAACCCATCGTGAGCAGTCCAGGCAGGAATGACAGCGTGACCATCGACGCAGACGGCTCGAAGCACACGCGCAACAACAGACCTAGAGGGTGAAGTGCGAGCGTCTGTTTTGCTCGTGGTTTCTGCAAGCCATAACTCACACGGGCTCACCAACGCCGTCTCCATTGGCCAAAAACCCGCCTCGACATATCGTTATGAGCACCCAAGGTCACACTCACTGACCACTGCCTCAAGATTTCCCACCTCCCGCCACCTCTCAATCCACCTCCCTCACAGCTTCCTTATAGTGTTGAGTAAAGTCATACCTCACTTCCATGGGCATCATCAGCAACTCCTTCAAATACACGTCGTCCGTTTCGGCCCTCATCAAATCCTGCATGAATTGATCCCGCTCAAATCGCGTCTTAGGATCTTTATCCGAGACCCGCCTGAAATTTTGGACGAGACAGGGTTAATGATGGTCTCCCACTTTTCGGTCCGCTCCTCTGAGTACAGGTCCAAGATGTACTCGTCTACCTTGCCGTCCCATATTCCCGCCAGACAATCGTAGAGCCCGCCGACGTCAACAAAGCCACCCGTGATGCCCAACCCGCCTCAGGGGTTGCACAGGTGGGCGGCGTCGGCGGCGAGCAGGGACGCGGCCAACGCGGAAACTGGGCGCGCACCGCTGGTGCATGCGGTAGGGCGAGAAATTGGTGATTTTGTAGTCGTCTGGCTTCGGGTGGCCGGGCAGGATGGTCTCAAACTTCCAGGCTGGCGGGCGAGGTATTCTTCACAGATGAGGCCGGGCGTCTCGCCGTACGTGATGCGGTAGAGACCGTCACGGGTTAGTCTGGCGGCCACCTGGGATTGTCAGTTAGATGAGGCGTGGAAGAAGGTTCTTACAAGTGACTTACGAAAAAGTGTTCCGGGTGGATGATAAAATTGGCATCCTGCCAGCCAAACTTGCCATCAAAGTCGTAATACGTCTGCCGCCGTCAGCACACATCCAGACTCGGGTTCTGCCCTCTACTCATCTCACATTCGTTGCGATAATCTGCTCATCCCACGTAAACCCAGGGAACATCATTCCCAAACAAAGCCTTCCTCACCGCGCTATTCGCCCCCGTCGCAACCCACCACATAGTCCCCCCTCACCACCTTCCTCTCTTTCCCATTCCCAACCTCTACCTCGCACCACGCCCCCTTCCCGTCCTGCCCAACCTCAACAACCCGATGCTCCCACTCCACCACGCCCCCATACCGCTCCACAACCTCATCCAGCATCAACCGATCCAGATCCTGCAGCGCAAGGCAATGCGTCCTCAAGTCCACCTCGCCCACCCCATCCACATGAACCCTCCTCAGGACCCTACCCGCATCAAACCCAGCCATGTACTCGTTCCCCTCGTCGGAACTGCGCCAGCACATGGTGTCGAGCACCATGCCCCGCTCCCGGATGCGGTCTGCCATGCCGGCGCGCACAAACTCGGGGATGGCGGGTGCGCCGTAGTGCGCCGCGCGCGGCTGCTCGTCGAGTTCGGCGGCCGCTTCGAGAGACGTGCACTGGTATGCCGTGCTTGGCGAGCAGGAGGGCGAGGAGGAGGCCTGAAGGGCCGGCACCTACTATTATTATCTGTTTATGGGCGGAGGTAGATGGGGTGGTTAGTGAGGACGGGCGTTACCTGGAATGGGCCCACAGGCGGGGGATGTTTAACTCACTTTAGAAATGGGGCGAGTTGGGATTGGGTCGGACATGGCGGTGTTGATGTTGGAGAATGTCGTCGACATTGAAGACCTTACCTAGCTATGTATGGAGGGATACTGCTTGGTCAGGACTGAGAGGGTTGATTGCTGTCGTCTCTTGTGACCGTCAGGCGACCGCTGGGAAGCAACAGGGGCTATAATTTCTCCTCGCCTACTTCCCCGCACCCGTTGAGAGGGAACCAGTGAAGGTGTGGCCCATGGTTTACGACGATTTGAGGCATCAATGGAACTAGCCCTGGATCGAACTGTGCAGGTGAGCCGTGAGGCCGCATGAAATTGGATAAGATACGTCAGAAAGTTGTCGGGGTCATTGTTTATTGCCGTCGGCCCGGCGAACCACCTGCAGCCAAGCAAACAGTATTGTTACCAATGCAAGCTCGCAATGTGCGGGGGAAGGAGCGTTGAAGTTCGGGGTTGTTCAGACTTGAGCCCGGCAAATAATAACCGCAACGGGAGGGCAGAGAGGAACAGGCTGGGAGGAGGTTTGGGGTTCCGGTTCCTTCCAGTTCAAGTTGACACACGTCATGACGGACACGAGGAATGCTACTTATTGCCTGCTCTTTGGACTTGATCTGTCATTTGCACCCTCTTCTTCACTCTCAACTTGCTTTGAACGGTACGAGTCCACAAACCGGGCCGATTTAAATCACCAACCGATCGAAAATCACTGGCATATATTTCACATCATCTGACTCACCTTCTAAATGACATTCACTTACCGAGATAAAAAAAAAAAAAAACCATAACTGTTACCTACAGTATTCAATCTCCCTTATCCATCTCAGGCTGCCTGCCTGATACCAGCTACCTTGGCTGAACACTTTCGCTCCTACCTCTCCTCCAGAGACGAGGCATCCTGGAAGGGATACTTGTGCGTCCGCCTATGGCTCCAAGTGTCTACTCGCCAAAAGGACATCTTAGGCGTCGAATGCGGGTTTTCAATCGAGATTTTGTCCGTGGTCAAACTTGTCAGCAAGTTGTCACCGGCTGGGGTTAAGTTCCAGACCGAACCGTACAACAGTGCCGCCGAAAATCCAATCTCTCCCGTGAAATGGAGTCAGTCCTTCCAGTCCATTTCGCCAGCATGGTCATGGGCCGACTCGTGGAAGAAGAGCATCTCAACCACGCTCATGGCCCTTTGGCTGACTTTTGAAGACCGGTCGCGGCGGAGGTTGGGACTCGTTATTGCCATCCCCTTCGTTGACCGCATCCTATCCAGCCCTGCCTGGGTCAGCCACGCCCCGCGACTTGAGCTTTTCCTTACGTTCGCTTGCCTCGCGGAGGGAGCTGCCTTTCCCGCGGTTTGGTCGTTAAGCCTCAGGTTGAGCAGTTGATCGGCGATCTGGGAAAGTTCTTGCTGGGTAGGCTTGCTGGGGGCCATGGCGCGACTAGGACCAGCGTCATCGACCCATCTTGGCTTCCTGGCACGTGCTCGAGATTGCCACCAGCTTTTGATGTGATTCACAGACTTCTCATCCTTCGCTCCGACGGCCTTGTCAAACTCTCCCCGAAACTCGTCTAGATTCTGCTTCGCCTTTTGCATAGCGATGCTGTGCTCCTTTGTCGGCCTTCGGTTGAACGAATGGGTAAACCGACCCTTAGATGTGTTAGCAAACTTTGTCAGGTCCGGAAAATCTTCCTCGATCACCTTTGTCAGTCGCTAAGACGAGTCATGGGTCTGGTCCACCCACATTTGTACAGCCCTTGTCATTTTCCCGCCACATACCTTCTCGAAGACGAGGCCGTTAAGGGGCGAGAAGATGCGCGGCCGCCAACTTGTGAGCTGTGATCGAACGTTCGCCCAGAGGGTTGCCTCCGCGATGGTCTTTAGAGTAAGCGGGGACAGATCCTTCTCTCGTTGTTACCTGTCTTTCGCGGCTCGTTAGATTTCGATAAGGATGTCGTCCAACTCGAGGATAGGAATCTTGTCGACCTCCAATGTTATCATGGCTATTTTTGCATGGGTGCACCCCAGGTGGACCAGCCAAAGAAAATGGTCGTCCTTGAGCTTGTCGCCTGGCCTCAGCTTAATCTCAAAGGGGTCTAAGGTAGACGGATTACTACCGCGTACAAAGTGTGCCCGCACGAGGGGGTTGGTGAATGCCTATTTTATAGAGCTTTTCTATGACGCTGGCCATGACCACCTCGTCGAACAGGACCCTCGGCTTTATTAGGGTTCCAAGATATTGAGTCGAGGTTCTCTCAAACTCCTTTCCTGATCGCATAAAGCTCCTTGTTTGCTCCCTGACCCGCTCGAGCAGAGAGATGACCACCCAATCTGAAAATGGCGAGATGGTCTTCCTCGAGCATGTGCGTGAGCAATAATACCCTGTGGAATCTATCATGGCGCGTGTACTCGTAGTAGCGACCTTGAGGGTCACTGATATGCTCCCATGAGTGGTCCATCCACTTATCCACGGCGGTGGCGAAGTAGGACGGATTCTCCCCCATCAGCCAAAGGTGCTTCTGGGCCTGTTCCAAGGCGGCCCTGGCTTACTTTTGAATGTTCTCGAGATCAATTACAAGTCAGGGCGCTCGGTATGGTCGTTGCAGTGCCAAAGAGAGCTTTCCTCTTCCTCATCGAGCTTGGAAAGGGGTTCGGACGCGGGCTGGGTGGGTATGCCGTCAGTCTCAAGATTGTGGTCTCATGAAGTTTTAGTGCGCAGCAGGCACCTAGAAACGAAAGTAATATGACCTGCATGTGCAACACGTGGACGCCGTCGCCGGTGGGAATGGCTTGATAGCGGCAGGTGGCCTTGACGTCTTCCCGTTTGAAAGTCCAGCTGCTGGCTCCATACTTCGTTTGACGCAACATCCGAGGACAGATCCATTCGGTATGGCACGAAGGTCCTTGGAAGCTACTGTAACCGGCTCTTGATTTGCAACATCTCGAGATCAAACGGCATAAACGCAAACGGCTCGTTCCGGCCGCGAGCGTTCAGGAGGTGCATATGGTGTCCCCCTTTAGACCTACTAGATCAGAGACCGTCATGTGCCGCTAAAGCCACTGATGGTTACCCTCGAAGCTCTTCTTTGTTGTCTTCCGTAGGAAGGCAAATCTGGGCGCCGTTCTATAGGAATAGTTTTCCACGCCTTTTCGCTCCCTTTCATTCTTCTTGGTCCAAGGCTTTCTGATGAGGTCGCGAACTTCTAAGAATTCGTTTCAGGTCGAGAAAGGTACAATAAATCACCTTCTTCTCCTTCAGTGCCAGGTTGCGTAGCCCCTCTTCAGTCCTTGGCTCATAGTTCAAATTGAAGGCTGATGCTAACGCTTGCGGATTGTCGATTATGTCCAGGAGCCACATATAGGCATTCTGCTCAGCAGTTGTCCAGTCGTAGAACGGCGTGCCAAGACCCGGCCGGCTGAGTTTGACATGGGGCCCAACCTTCTCGGCCCAGCTAGTGGCGTCGATAAGTGCGTTGGCGGCCGGCGGGAGTCGTACAGTCGGGACTCCGACGCGGCGCTGTGGACATTGTAGGTGAGCTTTTCGTTGTGTAGGTCTTCTAGAGATTAGTCTGCGGGACACGCTTGCCTTAATGTTCCGCCCCACTAAGAGGACTACTGATGAGTTTAAATACTCGTAACCAGGCTCGACGATGGCCTGCACCTTGAGGGAGAACAAGCCTGGGTCGTCCCCTGACGGACAACTGGTACTTCCTGTATAACCTCTAGGGTACAGGCGGTGTGAGTCGTGGTACCTAGAGTTGCCGTACCTATACAGGGCAAGTACTGGCATAACCGTAAAGACAAGCGATGCCGTCAGCTGCTGATTACTGGTGCCCAGCCGGACTCTTGCTTTCCAATTGTCCCATGTTTTAGATTTCGATGAGCTCAGCCTTAGTGAGGTAATCTCCAAGACCACTCAGTCCAGTCTTGACCTTGTCAAACGGGAACAGTTCGAGTCCCGGCCCCACTCCCATGAGAAAACAAAGGCGGATTGGCAAACATGGGTGGGACGCGGATATACAGATACTTCCGGATACGGCCAAGATACACTGGGACGATGTCACATCTCTGGGCCACAAAGAAAGTGACCAAACAACTGGTGTCTTGTGGTACACGGGCGATAAACTGAGAGAAAAGATGGTAAGTAGGAGGAGCAAGGTTGTCCAACTTGGAAAGATACCCTGTACCAGTTCAAGTGTCAACCGGGTTAGGCTTCCCAAGGTCACAGCAAGCGGACGTTGGGGACAGCGTCGAACAACAGTTGTCCACAGCCTACGAAGCCTAAGCCAAGAGCAAAACACTGAAGGTACCATGAAAGCTGTTCCACTGCCTTCGGCTCGTTTATTTTCCCACAACCCGTTACGCCATATTGTTCTCCGGTAAGATTCGGTGAGCAATATGTCGATTCCAAATATAGCCAAGGCACATGCCACCAGGCTTGTATCTGGGTCTCCAGAACAGCCAGGCATTCCCATCACCAGCCGCCAACAGGCTGCCACTCAGTCCCTCGAGTCAGGCGGAGTGGCGATCGGCATCTACAGCATCAGGTTGTGGTCCCAAGGAACAAGCTTCGAAAAGATCAGTACTGATCCTGGAGTGCGGCTGCTAAGAAGCCAGCTTTGGTCAACATTGAAGCAAGTTGGCCGATGCTTCCCTCGTGGGTGCCAGAAACCTCGAAACCGACAATCAGGCTCAGTCAGAACCTGCTTGCCCGATGGCATCACCTGCCCAGGTTGTTGACGATACTGCCCACCATGACGGCCACCTCTCTTTCCCAATGCTTCCCCGTGGCCTCTGCTTCCTTGCCCTTGCCCTTCCCTTTGGCTGCCGCAGCGACCGCGCTGGGCAGTTGACTGCCCTTGGCCACACAATCCTTGATGGCCTCCCCCACACTCTGCCGGTTCGTCTTCAAAGTTCGAGCAGAGACTCCTCCCTTGGCGACGATCTCCTGCACTCGGGGTGCCATACTACCCGCCATGGTTCGCCAGAAGTAGCTGGCAAGCGAACCCGTCTCCAGATGCGCCAACAGCGGCTGAAGCATGTTTCCACCCGCGTGCTGAGCCTGCTTTCCCTGCAACAGAGGATGCTCCGGCGCCTTGGTTGATTCCAACACCGCCTCCAGCGCCACCACATTCTGACATCTCGCGCTGACCTCAGCCAACGTCCTCTCCAAGCTTGGCAACGTCGCCAATGCCCTCGACAGCCCAGCGATACTACTTTGCAATGCGGACTTCAAGTAGACCTCCAATGCCTGCAGCATCCACGTCGGGGCCCACTTATCCCCACTCTTTCCCGGCACTGGGGTAAGGAGATACAATGCTGTCAGCGCAGACACTGTTCTCGCTTTCACCTCCTCCGACTGCGCAAAAGTCGCGGCCCCCGACGCACTCCCGACTGAAAACTCCCTCACGATCCTCTCGGCCGATTCCTTCACCGCCCTCTCTATTGGCATCACCACCCCCTCCCTCAACCCCCTCACGACCGTGACCTTATCCAACCCAAACCCCTCCGCCCCAGGCACCTCCGTACCAGCAAACATCTCCCTCAGCGCAAGCAGCGTATGCGCGCACCTTACCAACGCCCTGTGATCCACCCGCACGCGCGCGCTCGCAGCACTCGTCGTCGCCGTCGCGCCAACCGACCCCGCCAGCTCGGTATGCTGCGCCTCGAGCTGCCTCCCCAACTGCAGACACCGCCCCACGGCGCGGCCGAGCCGGAGCGTCGTCCACAGTCGCGACGCCACATTGCGCACCTCGTCCGCCTCGGCGTGCTTGTGCGTGACTTCGCGCTCGAGCTGGGCGTAGCTCTCGTTGAGGGCTGTGATTTGGGACTGGAGGGCGGTGAGGATGTTTGCGCTGGCGGCGGTCTGAGATTGCGTGTGTGTGAGTAAAGGGAGGGCGGAGCGGGTTGTGAGGAGGTCGATGTGGGAGTCGATTTCTTGGATGTCGAACAGGACTCGAGAGAGTGGGGTGGAGAGGTCGAGCGGGGTGTCGCTGGGGTTGTTGGTCGCCAGGACGAGGGTGTTGGCGAAGGAGGAGGGGGAGAACGACGGGTCAAGAAAGGCTTCGTAATCGATGTATGAGGGCTCGTCGGCGGCCGGCGCGGTCGGGGTCATTGGGGCGCTCATTGTGTCGATGATGGTTGTTAATTGTGATTTGTTGCACAAGCAATCCGAGACAACAAATCGATAGAAACTCTTGCAGTGCCGGCCGTGATTTTGGAGTGGGGCTACAGAGCTCCCGTCTCGGCATTTGCTGCCCGCAAGCCACTGGCGTTGCTAGTGTAGAAGTGAGATCATCTCCGTGCAGGGACACAGTATATGATGTCGTCATACTGTTACTTCCGGCAACACACAATGAGAGTCTGCTCCGTGAGGGAACTTCGGTATATCCTGCTGCCTGTCAACCCATCTACATTGGTTATATTCTAGCCCGATAACGCAATAACTTGCATGTCAGTCAACAGTTCAGAGTGACCTACCTTCGTCTTTTGCAGTCATGTTTGTCAGACCGTAGGGGTTGCTTAAACACAGTGCGACTTGGCGTATCTGGTCAATGGATCGATCCCACTGAGCGATTAAGCCAAAGTTTTCGGAAGCAGCGGGTGTTTGGGAATCCATCATCAGTTGTGTCGCACAGGACTGACTCGATTGATCTTGCGCGTCCCGGTTGCTTCCTAATACTCCTTGGATCGATAGGGCGACCGACAACCCGATGCTAGAGATGTGCTAATTTGACTGCGACGGCTTAGAGCGAGCGCAGTTGCTCAAGCTTGACCCAATTGTCCATGCCGATCTCGCATCCGCAATCTCAAGGTCGAAATTGACCCGCCATCCCCTTCATCCAGCAGACATCACAGCCCATCCGCTCGCTGTTTCGTCTCTGTCCTCCAAACATGGCGCTGCTCAGTGCCCGCGAGGCTCTGGCCTTTCCCGGCGGCGACAACTCGAGCGACACCATCATCAACGACGTCCACCTGAATCTGACCACCCTCTCACACTGGAACTACACGCTGTACTCCAACGGCTCGCTGTCTAATGGGTCGTGGTGCCTCCTCGCCTTCCGGCCATACATGCCGTCATACGTGCTCCCGAACGGCACCTTTCTGAACGTGACATGGTGCTGGACGCCCACCAAACCCATCGACGTCCGCGGCGGCGTCGCGGTCGGGTACGCCGTCTTGTTCGGCATCGCCCTCGTCCTGACTCTCGTCGCCCTAAACAAGCACGGGAGGCTCCATCTTCCCGTCGAGAAGCGCTTCTACCCAATCGGAAGGAGATGGCAGTGGTACTGGGGCTCCTGGGTGTGCGCCACTGCAATGATCAGCCTAATCACCAGCATCGATGTTGACCGCTACTTCCTGCCCGAACTGCCCGTCATTCTGAGCAGCTTCTTCTGGTATCTAATGCAAATGGGCACCGTTGCCCTTGTCTGGGAGGCCGTGCGCCATTGGGGAAGCTGGATGGAGCGCCAGTTCATCGACCCGGACCCGTTTACCCTACGGGATGACGACAGGCGGTCCAAGGTCGAGTTCTACCTGCCCTTGCTCTTCTACCTGTTCCTCTGGCTGGTATGCCTGCTCTAGAACTTAGAATCCTCCTTTGTCAACTGCTGACCATCTTCCGTGCCCTAGAATTTCTTCATGATCGTTCCCCGGAATTGGGAACCCGTCCAACACCAACGCTACCCGCAACAGACACTGAATGATGCTGCACCCACTGCGACAGACTCCCGCTTCAAGGCCGGCGCCTTTCTGCTCGCCGTCTGTTGGCTGATAACCGTCTACTCGCTGCGCCACTCGATCAAATACTACTGCCCCCGCAACCGAGGCATCTTCAACCGCATCACTGGCTTCTTCCGATACACGCCCCTCCGTTTTATGCTCATCATACCCCTGGTCGCTGCTCTCGTGACGTACCAAGTCCTAGTGGCTTTCCGTTTTGAATACAGCCCGCTCAAGGTCGGAGGCTTGGATGCCGCCATCTTCGCCGGCGGCTACACCCCATCCCTCCTCATCGTTTACATCCAGGCCGTCTTTGGCTTCATCAACCCAAACGAAGACCTCGAGCTGCAGCGTCAGCGCCGCGTACGCCACCAAGCGCTTGATCGTGAAATGGGCATCGTCTACAAACCTTCCTGGTGGCGCCGCGTCAATGGAGAAGTCCTCGACCCCAATGCGAGCATGCGCGACCGCTTGCTGCGCAATGTTCGCGAAGTACAGGGGAACAAGCGGCCTGCACCAGGCACCGAGATACCCGCGAACGCAGCGGATGGGGCTGCTGACGTCGAGATGACGCCCGTCTCGCCCGCACTCACCAGCCCTCGGCCTCCCGGCCCACACTCAGAGCGCTACAGAGGGCGATCCGATAGGACACGGCAGCAGGCCGCGATAGATCGTGTCGCGGGCCTCCCATTGGCCCAGCGCGAGGAGCTGATGATGGATGGCCCGCCACCACCTTCGTACACGGAAACCTTGAGCACGGGCCCGAGCCCGCAAGTCCCGGGTGCGGCGAGAAGCATAAGCGCTCAGTCGTCGGCGTCTACCAACCAGCCACCGCAGCAGATCAGGAGTATGCTGGACGTGTGAGCTGGCAGGGGAAGTAACCAGGATTTGGCTAGGCATTACGTATCGTTCACCTCCCTCGCAGCTCCTCGTAGCGGTGGCCAGAAACCACAGGAACTGGTTACAAGAGGGAGCAGATTCCGCGCGCGGATTGCGACCGAACCGGTCCAGCAGACTGGCTCGCGGACCGGGCTCAATAAACCAACATCAACGGTCTCTCGAGCGATCCCAAGCACTGCATGTATCACATCACCGCGCCAAAGAAGGGCGTATGGGTGCAGAAGCCCGCAACGATACAACTCCGACCTACATGAGAAACGGTCTGGCGTAAAGTTCGCCACACCATATCCGCAGCATGGAAACGACCCGTGGCTCGGCCGTTGCCGGTCTTCGGACTGGATACGCCATTGAAGTCTTATGTTCGACCATCGCTGCCCAACGTAAAAGGGGTAACTTGCTATGTGGAACTCAGCCCCATGTACCTGGCTATACAACATGGACGATAGAATTTTTGGATTGTTCATTCTAATCTTCAGCCCTGCATCCGTTGGCTATGCCACCTATCACCGCGTTCTTCACCATCTTCACATCCAGCCAAGGCAAAGCCGATAGCTACGCTTGCCACTTGATAGTAGCACGTCGTGTGGACAGTCACACACATATACCGGTGGTCAAGCCTTGTCATCTCTCCTTGCTTCATCGGATTGTGTGCAGTGTGGCAGAGCATTTACTACGCATGCTTGATTCAAAAGAACAGTGCGACCTAACCCAACCCAACCCAATCCCGAACCCGACAACCCAGAAACCCAATCTCACCCAGTGCAACCTGCTCCAGACACCGCAGCCCATCCCAACTGGCCGAACTCGGTAAGCTCCCTCATTCCCTCGCGGGTATCCAAGACTCTGTGCTCATCACTTACGGCGGCTCGGATGACATGGTCCATGTGAAGACTCCTCGCATATACAGCAGCCGAGGACACACAAAACACCGGACAGGACCCAATCTCTCCCCATCGCCGATCTTCCTTCTCGCAAACCTCTGAGCGTGGTGCAGAGGTGACGGTGAATATTTGCAGAAAGCGGGCTCAAAACAGGGGGGGGTGAAGCTCCCGAGTTAACGCGCCCATTCCGTCATCCGGCTTTCCATTGTATTCTGCTCGCCCTGGCCGTGTATGTGGCATCGTGTCGTGCCAATGCCCCCTGTCCCATAGGCCATGCTCACCCAACTTCAAATGAAAGAATTCCCAGCTCAGAAAATGCACCACGCAAACCCCCCACCACCACCCCTCTTCGGGGGCTATGACCCCCACGCCTCCGAATTGAGGAAACGACTCGCAAATCAAAACACAATGCGCCACCCGTCCGAGTAGGTCGGGTCAAGAGAGAGGGTATCGTGATCCCCACGCCCTGGGTCTGTACCATCGTTTCGTCGTCGTCATCAGGAGAACCAAAAGGAAAACGAAAACAAGGGAGGAAAAAGTCGTAAGATGAACATGGCATCGCATACTAACAGTTCACCAACCAAGGCAACGAAAAAGCCAAAAACCAAAGACAAATCCAATCTAGAAAAAACTCCAAGTACCAAAGCGCATCGTGTTCCACCCGTTCCAAAAACCCCAGCTTAGGAAATCCCCAGAGATTGATCATGCAGCGAGAAAGTAGATGTCGAAAAGAGGGTATCTCATGCCTGAGCGAGTGATCGTCAATGTGTATCCCAAAAAGCGAAACATAAGTTGCAAATGAACCGCAGCGAGTGGTGAGAGGTAGCGACGCAACGATGCGAAGCGCAAAGCCCCAGCATGAGTCGAGTAGGATGAAAAACAGATTTTAAGCCGCGCGATGGGGTCAGTATGCCGTTGCGACAGGCCCCTGGCCAGTAGCCACGGCGACAAGCGCCTCAAGGCGCTTCATCGACTCGGGGCTCCCGGCCTGCTGATGATTCGGAGGGCGCTCGGGGATCCGCTCCATGCGCTCCATTCTCTCGACCCGCTCCATCCGTTCCACCGGAGGCGGCCCGGGTTGCTGCTGCTGCTGGTGCAACACGGGCGGCTGTTCGCGGGCTGGGAAACCCTGAAACGAGCTGATGTTGGGGTGGACAATCCGGTCTACATGGGGCCGTCCTTCGTGAATGGTCTCGCCGGCCGGGTGCGCGGCTAGCGGCCCGTTGTACCATCCGTGCCGTCGGTATTCGCGGGGGTTGCTGAAGGAAGGCGCAGACACGGTGTGCTGATGGCGGAGACCGAGGTAGCTGGGAGGAACGTTTGCCGGCGCCACCGGCGGGGGCGGAGCCGGCACGGTCTTCACCTCAGGTTCGAACCTAACCCGCGTTTGCTCGGCGCGGGCAAAAAGTGCCTGGTTGGCTTCGTTGGCCCACGCGCCTGCGCTATCCCGCGGCGGAGTGTTGATGTCCAACCTGGTCAATCCGCGATGCAAGTTCACATCCCACTGAGGGGCAAGACCGCGCCGATCGTCCCCGCCAAACTCTGAGTTTGGCACGACTAGAGGCGGTGGTGGTCTGCGAACTTCGGAATCGACCATCATTGGGGAAGGGTTGCGCGGCGGCGGAAGAGGGGCAATCTCGTCGAAGGACTCAATACCAGGGAGCCGCAGCGGCGGTTGCTGGCTGACGGAATTCGGAGTGCGTGGTGTGACAGTGTCCGGGGGGAACTCGGAGGGTGTGATGACCTGGCTGAGCCTGCTTGCTCCATTGTAGTCGCGTGTGTCAGGGTGCCAGGTGCGCCTGCGCCATGCTTCGTCATTTGCCGACGAAAAGGATTCCCGCCTGGACCATGTCGACGTTGATGCCGTGGGCGACGCCAGTAAACTGCCTTGGGAGGGTGAGAATGTTCCCGCAGTAGATGAGTTGAGCGATGGGGTGCCAAAGGGTGGACCCCTCAGGCCAAGCCCATGTGGCGACTGGAACGGGTTACCGCCAGACGGGACGCTCAATCGACGGCCAGGGGTTCTCGAACCAGCATACATGCTATGCGGTCGCGAATGGGACGGGCTGGGCGACATGACAGTACCCCAGCGGGGGCTGTTCTGGCCGGTGGAGAACGTCGCTGAAGTTGGCGTGCTGAAGTCGCCCGGGGACGGTGGTCTGTAAAACTGCCCATCAGACCCACGCAATGACTCGAGCGGCAGACGGGCTCGGGGATCCGCCATGACGAGGGGCGGGGGCCTGCGACGGGAATCGGTACCACCGTAGCCGGAAGCTATTGAGCTCACGCTTGTGATACTCGACGTGGACAACGACTTTGAATGCCCTCGTCCTCCCGGCCCAATACTGCCCGATGTCGATGCTCTGGCCCTCCCGGGCTGGCGCACTCTTTCTGTCCTGATCTGCCTTTGAAACCGCGTGCCCGTAGCCGCAAGCGAGTCCAGGGGAATGTCTTCGTTGATGTGTACGGTTTGGGCATGCTGCCGCAAATTATCGAGGCGCGAGAAGCGCCGAGAGCAGTGGCATTGGAAGGGACGTTCGCCCGTGTGTTTCCTACCGACAAGGCAATTTGTCAGCCATCCGGCCTTGCTGGGGAATCGAGCTTGTTGCATTACCTGATATGGCGAGCCAGGTGCTCGCTTCTGGTGAAACTAAGATTGCATGGCGGATAATCGGTGCAGTAGAACCTCTGCGACTTCTTTTTCTTGGATTTTGTGCCGTCCGCGTTGACGGTTTCTTCCTCGTCTGAAGCAGCACCGTCGTCCACGGCATGTGCATCCCCATCCGAATCGTCCATGTCTACGTCATCGGGCTCCTTGGATGTCCTCGAATGCTGTGAGTGTTCTCTCTTCCGCGCGGGCGTCGTGGGTTCGGGGACCTGCACCGATTCGGGAAACGGCGAGGTTGGCAAAGGCCTCTGTGACGCGAGCGCGCCGGCGCCGAAGCTCGCCCGGGTGGGTGTCGCGGCCTCGTCCTGGGGTTCTGTCGGTCGGGCCGGGGCAGTCGTCGGTCGTGGCGTCATCGCTGTCGTTGAGGTGTCTTCGCTGGCAGGCTCTGGCGCCAGTAACGGGTTGTTGACTGGACGGAATGCTGCAGCCATCGCGCGGACGGGCGGAAGAGGAGGAGAAGCCGTTGGCGAGGGTTTGTCAAACAGGGGGTGAAGGGTGTATTATGGCTGGACAACCTGGCGAGGCTGAGGAGATCAAGCCCGGTCGCTGCAGGGGCAGGTGCGGGGGCGGGGGCGTCTGAAAATGATTGCGACGACGCAAAGGGGTAGACAAAGCGATCGGGGTCCGGAGAGAACCTCCTATCCAGCCGAGCGGTGCCTGTCTCGAGATTATTGCGGAAATGGGCTGGGCAAAGTGTTTGTCGTACCGTTGGGCTTGGAAAAAAAGATGGCGAGGGCCGGATGGAGCCAGTGCTTCCACGTCTTCTGGGCCCGCGGTGGGGAATCATGCGACGTTACAGGTACGGCGGTAACAGTACAGGCTGCAGGGAAAATAGAAGCAAAATCGATCACAGCAGAAGCGCAGTTGTGTACGCCCGCGATTGCGCTGTCAGCAAATCAGCAAGAATTGGAAGGGAACTCGAAGCAGGCGTAGCAGCAAGGAAATGCGCCACAGGCCCGAAGGTTCCTTCCCGCTGCTTTACTTCGCAAGACACCTCAGCAACGCTGTGGCGAAGAGTGCAAACGCAGGGGATGCGACAGCTCGAGGAACGGCGAGGAGTTGCGTCCAGTCTGACGGCGGGATCCCGTCGGCTTGGAGCCAAGGAACCGGCCAACCACAGCTGGGCTGTAGATTTGGGATTTGCGAACGTGTGGTGTCGCTGTACACTACTGTATGCAGTGTGTGTCTTGGATCAAGGAGAGATCTCGGTCCGCATGGCATGCCGGCTTTTTGTTGGCTCGTCGGGCTTGCTTTTAGCTCGCCCTTGCGGGCGAAGTGCTGACCCGGCAGGCCAACCAGTGTGCCTGGATCCCGAGGAGGCTGGCTGCCTGGCGTGGTGCAGCCCATGCGATGTCTTCCCAGATTAGTCGCTCCAAATGCAGGTTCGGCGGCACAGGCGATGAATCAGCCGCAAAAGTTGCTGTGGAATGTGTCTGTTCTGTTGTTCGCAAGCTTTTGTGCAGGGCCACCGACGAAAATCTGTGCGACGGTTGGGTTTAAGAGCTGCTAAAGCTGTTCAAGTAGCGTTGGATAGCCATTGAATGCTCGACGGGAGGTTATCGGCGGGGCTTCCATCTGATTCAGGCGCACCTCTCGCTCGATGCTCGATGATCGATGACTCGACCTCGAGTGAACAAGGAACTTTACAAGAGCTGCCGACGGAAGGCGGGGCGCTGGCAAGGTTGACCCTGACAACCAGTCCAACGTTAGCGGAAGCTGTTGGAAGGCTAGAGAGGCAGGCACCATTCAACGCCCTTGGCCTCTTGAAAAGGCAAACCGTTCCCAGAGACACACTTTGATCAGCCGTCCCGGGACCGATGTCAGCAACCCTTCCTCGTCCGGGATGAGCTGTCTTGAGAGCTCTCAGAATCTACCGGTATCTAATAAGTAGTAAGGTATCGTCGTTTCACGCTTGCGAGCGGCCTACTAGTGATAGCAAGATGGCGCAAGGAGAGCATCACAACCGTGATTGTTCTAACCAACGGTCGGCTGCCCCAGAGGATGAAAGCAGCAACCTCAAGTGGCTTCATTAAGGTACGGTACCTCCACTTAGTCCGCGCTACAGAGCTTTTAACACCACAACACTATCCGGGAGGCGTCGGAGCAGACGAATTGGGGGATCAAACTCACTCGGCATGGTACCGTCATTTGTCATACAGGTATTGTGAAGGTTGCCTCACAGCGGCGACAATCGGTACCTGGGCTGCTGGATGCACATCGGTCGGGTACCTGAACGTCGCCCCTCCCTGTGCGGGGTCAGCGGGCCACCCAGCGCCCCATGAGCATCTCGTTCCGAGAGCGGTATTCAACTGTGATGGCATGAAAGCTGTCAACTCTCCAACGACGAAACTGCGTATTATTTAAGTATGACAAGCGAATTTGTCTGCTACAAAACATAATATCGATCGCGGTAGCATTTGGGTTCGCGGGTTGGAATGTTCATCGACATGCAGTCTTGATTGAACCTGCGCCTGAACATTGCGTCATTGTAGGGGCTGAGGAGTCCACATCCGGATGGCAACATGGGGGGGTGAGTAAACCCTCCGGAGCTCTGATTCGGTGGACTTCTGGTAGCACCGCTGTTCTCCGACGCTCGCCGGTACTATACATTCGAGCTTGACGCCTTCAGCACGTATACAGAAGAATGAGCTCACTTCGGTACCCAAGTTGCCTAGGTCGGACGCAAGTTGCCTAGGTCGGACGCAAGTTGCCTAGGTCGGACTTGGTGTCCAGACCGCCGGTGTTGACCGCCTTCCAGTTCCTTGCACGACATGCAAAGGTGAGCGCACAGCCATAGGACCACCTCGGGCGACGAGAACGACGGGCCCGTCGGAATGCATCGTCTGGCTGCATTTCAAGTTTTACCACAGCGCACAGACTATCCACATCAAACAGAAAACCTACGACGTGGCCGCACGAAGCGGAGCCATCTGTTTGGGCCAGCACTTCGTGAACCTGACTGCTCATGTTCCACCGACAACCTTCGCTGGAGCCTTTCTCCCCTTTGGTGGTGGCCGGCAGTGACTGCCAAGCACACCGCATTCGGCGCACACCCTCCGTCCCTAGATATTCCGGTGGGCCGGGAACAGAGCTCTATGGATTGTCGTGGTTTTGGTCTCCTGACCAGTTCGCCTCGCCACCCGCCAGCTCAGGGAAGCTCCTACATCCTGGGAGGTTAGGGTTAGCAAAGGCCAACTGAGCTCCGATATTCCTTCGCCGAGGATCCTTCGTACATGGTGGGGGTACAGGAGTCAGGACCTAGCCCCACATGCGCCAACCCGAGACAAGCCGCCCGACCGGCTGTCCGGCCTTCCCGCAACAATCTGGCGGATATTAGAGCTGACGAGCCCTATACTCACCTCCGTCGTTGTGAGCATTCGGAATTCTCACGCAGACTTGGATCGTGATGATGCCTCCATGACTGTCTCAGCAACCAACTGGGGTTCCGATGGAGGTCGGAAGGCCGGTGGATTGCCTGCTTCTTGCTGATGCGGTCCAGGTAACTCGACGGACCGAGCTATCAGAGGCGGTAGTCGAGCGGATGATCTTTACATTCCCGTAGGGGTCAGAAGTCTCCGGCCACACCGCATTTCCCCAGCCATCAACGTTTTTATATACCCAGGACACATCTAGCCATATCTTACAGGCAAGGTTTGCAGCAAATTTAATAGCATCAGATTGACCGTCAGATACAACGCTTCAATATTTTATATGCCACCATCTGGCCTTCTTGACAGCGCGCAGTCGGGGCGGCATACCCCTGACCAGCCTGTCAATCCGGGCCTTGTCTATAGATAGCCCACCACGCCTCCCACAGGCATCTGGTGAATTCTTCGATATCCAGCTCGTTCTTTTTAAATCCTCTACGTCATGGAACATCCTTTCTCATATTCCTTTTATGAGTGGCTAAGACATGTTCAATCGGGTTCAAATATGAGACTATACGCGGGCCATTCAATCCAAGAAATTTGACGGGCTTGAATTTACTCTTCCGTCGAGGTACAGACGTAAATCTTTGCATTGTCTTGTTGAAAATGGCGAGTTGAATCGTAAAGGGTAGAGGACCTTCTATAAGAGCCTTTTGGTAAGATCTTACAGTATTGTCACGGGCATTGGCCGTGCCAGGGTTAGGGTCGCAGTCCTGTAGAGCTGGCAAGCCCAGTGGTGGGGGCTTGTCAGTCGTTAGTGCGCAGCCCTTCTGCAGGGTTTCCTTGAGGGCTGCACCCTGCCCACAGTTTGGTTCCTCGTGCAACCACACCAATACTAGAGGATACGCAAGTTCAGTCCCTGTGCCCCGTCACAAGTATATCGTCGCTTTAGGGTACTCTCATCTCTCTCCATTACAAACCACTCGCTCCTCCCTCTGTCCTAGATCATTCCCCATACTATAATCGAGATCGTTACCTTCATATATAGCCGGAGGTTGACGAATCGTTTATCGAACTTCTCAGAAGGAAAACGGAACACCTAGGCGGTCGGATTCGAGGTGTTGTAGGAAGACTCGTCTAAGAACATATTCTAGATAGTAAGCAGGGCTCCACATGGGGCAAACTTTCAATGACAAACCCTTGCCCGGCCTGTGCATTTGCTCATATCTGGTGCGCACCCCAACTCTGTCGACGCGCCGTGACTTGCTCGCTGGTTTCTTGGCTTGTAGTACCCGATGCCTTATAGCCACCAAGTGCATTGGTGAGTGCGTTGATAAACATGATTCCCGGCTGTCAAATGCTACGAACGGAGCCCCATGTTCTCTGTATGCATACCGGGGTCATCTAACAGGTGCAACGCCTTCTCAGCGGAGATGCGGTCTTGTGGCCGGAACCGCATCAGTCCCTGGATAATGGGAAGAAGAGGCTCCTTGACATACTTCCCGAATCTGTGGTTCAGCCTAGATTGTCTCGGCATTCGGTCTGTTGGAAACGGCATGTCAGGCCAGGTAACGCCCTCGGAACAAGCAACCGGGAGTGTCACGGAACCATAGTAGGTCTGGGAAGATAACTGCGTTGCTCTATGAAGAGGAAAGGAAGCTATGGATGGATGAACCTGAAGCTAAGTGCAATGTGCCACGTGACCTAGGGATCGGCGGTCCAGTGCCGTGACAGTACTCCCCCTCCCAAGCCGGTTTGTCCTCAAACCGAAGAAGTAATCCCCATATCATGTGTTTCGTGGCCTCCGTCGCGGCCTCTTTGGCGCGGGGGGTTTCTCAACCCAAGTCGGGGGCCCGGGCTTCTTGGGGTTCAGCTCGTGAAACTGCAGGAGGGCGCGGTCGCAGCCTCTCAAGCATTCTTCGGGTTCCCATGTTGGTTTATCGTGGTACTTCCACTTGATCTGGTAAGTCAGACCATGCTTCTCAATGTCTTCATCGTGAACGTCCAGGATACGCTCGAACTGCCATCTTTCCTCGATATTGCCGTCGTCATCTCGATGAGCGATGCGGCCAGCGATATTACGTCGCTCCGCGGCGTTAAGTCGCGCTTGGCCAGGAATCTGTTCGGGTTGCCAGAGGCGGACTTTCGAAGTATGAAAGCTCTTGTTAACGCGAATGTGGTCGGGGAGGTCGATGACAACGGCGCCCCTATAGACTGCCAGCACCGGGAACGGCCCATCCCAGTTGTCATCCCACTTCTTCTTAGGTCTATTGGTCTTCATGTTTTCCAAACTCACCATGACCATGTCGTTGACCTTGAACGTTACAGCCTCGTCCCGTTTACTGTTGGCATTGTCCTCATACCGTTGCTGTGAAATCTTGGCCAGAGCTTTGAGTTGAGTAAGAATGCGTTCGAATCGTCCGGCAACGGCGTCCGCACGGAGGAATTCCTTCTTGGCGTGGGCTGGGAGTGCGGATGGCACAGGCCCCGGGGGTTCGATGCCGAGGCGCGGGTTGAATCCATAGTTTGCGAAAAACGGCGAAACCCCTGTAGTTTCATTGACTTGGTTGTTGGCAGCGAATTCGGCGAGGGGGAGCCAGTCCACCCAGTCGTCCTGAGTGAAGCTGACGTAACCGCGAAGATACTTGTTCATAGCGGCGTTGATGCTCTCCGTCTGGCCGTCTGTCTCGGGGTGAAAAGCTGAGCTCGGGCGAAGGGCGACCTTCAGGCGGTGGCTGAGCCGGCGCCAGAAGTCGGAGACAAAGGATGGGCCGCGGTCAGAAATGATGGTCTCTGGAGCGCCATGTAAGCGGTAGACATGGTGCAAGAAGACTTCAACCAGCTCGTCTGTGTCGAGCGAGGTGACTGCGACCAAGTGTCGCATTTTCGTGAGCCTGTCAACTACTGCGAAGATGTAGCGATAAGTCTTGCCGTTGCGCTTGCATTCGGGCAAGTCGACCATGTGGTCTATGGAAATATCCGTCCATGGCCGGGCTGGGAGCTCTAGGGGCTTGAGGAAACCTGGGGGCGCGGAACGGGGAGTTTTCGTTCGAAAACATAGAGCGCAGTCGCGCACGAACGTGGCAGTGAATTGTGAGATCCCGGGCCACCAGTAGGTGCGATTCAGCAAGTCTAGGGTTTTGACTCGGCCCGGGTGGCCTGCTGGGCCGCTGCTGTGAGTCCGGTGTACCACTTCAAGTCGCAGCTCGGGGGCGTCGGGAACGAACAGCCGATTTCGGAAATAGATCAAGCCATCCACGATTGAGCATTCAGACTTGTCGCAACGGAGAATTTTTCGGATCGCCTTGGGCCAGCG